TGGTGACCTAATCGGGGTGTACCCTGCCTTTCAACCATAGAATGCTGGAAGTAGGTAACCGCCCAACCGTGACCCTGAAGGATTAGCGGAAGAACAGGAATTTAACAAAATTAAACCCGACTTTGTGAGAAACTCCAAAAGACTCAGGTGGAGCTGTTGGATCTTAGTGCTGCATTTGATACAGTTGACCATAATATTCTTTTAGAAAGACTTGAACATTTTGTTGGAATTAAAGGAACAGCATTAGACTGGTTTAAATCTTATCTATCTGATCGATTTCAGTTTGTTCATGTTAATGATAGATCTTCAACATGCTCAAAGGTTACCTGTGGAGTACCACAGGGATCAGTGCTAGGACCAATTCTATTTACTTTATACATGCTCCCAATTGGTAGAATTATTAGACAGCATGGGATTAATTTTCACTGTTATGCTGATGATACCCAGCTATATCTGTCTATAAATCCAGATGAAGCTAACCCATTACATAGATTACAGGCATGTCTTGAAGACATAAAAACCTGGATGACTCTTAACTTTCTGCTTCTGAATGCAGACAAAACAGAAGTTATAGTCTTTGGACCAGAGTCTTTGAAAAATAAGCTGATTAGTCAGTCACTTCATTTGGATGGGATTAAACTGATTTCAGATAATAAAGTAAAAAATCTTGGTGTTGTTTTTGATCAGGACCTGTCATTTAAATCCCATATCAAAGAGGTTTCTAGAATTTCCTTCTTTCATCTGAGGAACATTGCAAAAATTAGAAATCTCCTGTCCAGGGGTGATGCTGAGAAACTAGTCCATGCATTTGTTACTTCAAGGCTGGACTATTGTAATTCTTTACTATCAGGAAGTCCACAAACTGTAGTTAAGAGTCTTCAGCTGATCCAAAATGCTGCAGCCAGAGTTCTGATGAAAATTAAAAAGAGAGATCACATCTCTCCTATCCTGGCTTCTCTTCATTGGCTTCCTGTTAAATCAAGAATAGAATTTAAAATCCTCCTCCTCACATATAAAGGCTTAAATGGCCAAGCTCCATCTTATATCAGAGATCTGATTGTTCCTTATGTTCCTAACAGAGCACTTCGCTCTCAATCTGCAGGTTTACTAGTGGTTCCTAGAATTTCTAAAAGTAGAATGGGAGGCAGATCTTTTAGTTATCAGGCTCCTCTCCTGTGGAACCAACTACCAGTTTTAGTCCGTGAGGCAGACACCCTGTCTACTTTTAAGGCTAGGCTTAAAACTTTCCTTTTTGATAAAGCTTATAGTTAGAGTGGCTCAGGTTATCCTGAGCTATCTCTATAGTTATGCTGCTATAGGCTTAGACTGCTGGAGGACATAGGGACCCCCATTTCATCATTCTGCTTCATTCTCTTTCTATTCTCCTATTCTGCAGAATCTGTTAGTTCAATCTCTAACCTTCTGCTCTATCTGCTTTTCCTCAGAGTAGCTTTGCCTTGTCTGTTCCTGTTTGGCTGTGACGTCATCCTGGAAAGAAACATCAGCTGTGCTGTGACTGGGTGGATGTGCTTTCTTCGTCCTCTGACATGGGAGCTGGCTCGGAGCTCGTCTGCCTGGCTGTGTGTTTCCTGGACGGGGCCGCCTATTACAGCTGCTTTTGTGTCTCTGCTTCCGTCTTCTTGAACCCAGTCGGCCTCGGCAGATGGCCGCTCACACTGAGCCTGGTTCTGCTGGAGGTTTCTTCCTGTTTAAAGGGAGTTTTTCCTCTCCACTGTCGCTACAAGCATGCTTAGTGTGAGGGATTGTATTGAGTCAATGAGTCGATGCAATCAACTGGTTTTCCTTAGATGGAGAACTTTGTATCAATTTGACTTTATGATCTGGTTGAACTGTGAAGTGCCTTGAGATGACATGTGTTGTGAATTTGGCGCTATATAAATAAACTGAATTGAATTGAATTGAATTGAACAATTGCCTGGATCAAAGACTACCTGACAAACAGACAACAGGTTGTTAGACTGACGGGTCAACTGTCTAACCAACAGACAGTTTATTTTATGCTAATGTATTTTATGCGCCTCAGTCTGACAATCTGATAGATGAGTCTGGGTTTGAGGGTTGACACTTGTTGTATTTGGTGTAAAGTTTGTTCAGAGGTGTCCCTGAATGCATTGACGTGAATCGACCCTAATTCTCAAATATAAGGGATAAAGCTTACAGGATGGTGAGAGGGCTAAGATAACCTGACTGCCTGTCGTAGAAACGGGGAATCAGCGTAAGACATAGACCAGAGGTCACTGATTAGCAAACCGCGGTCCAGATCTTGACCTGCTGGCTAATCTGGACCCAACCTGATTTAAAAATTACCGCATGTTGTCTGACAACTCTAACTTCACTTGCACCGCTTCTCCTGTTAATACGGTAAAGCCCTCCAGAGCGTCCAGCACAAGGCTGCACATCCAATTATCCAATGAGCTGCTGTCAGTCTGGGTTGCTGCTGCTGCTAATTTTAGACACAGCAGGCAAACCTGTGGCAAGCCGGGCGATGGGAAAGAAGGAGAAGATGATGAGAAAAAGAGAGCAGAGAAAGTGTTGACTGCGGTGAACTGTGGTGAACTGGTGAAAGAAAAGTGAAATGGTGCTCAAAGATGACCCTGAATATTTAGAGGATGTTTGGCTCAACCTGCTGCTGTGAAGCAGGATTCTCCACCATGAACAGAATCAAAAATAAATCTGGATCCAGGCTCAAAATGAGCTCCTTCGATATGTGCTTTAGAATGGCTTAGTCTCCATTCAAACCCAGGTTTAAAGCCTTGCAGGGCAGCATAAAGCCCACTGCGAACATTAATCCATGAAAAAAGAAAAGAAAAACAAACAGCCAGTTCAGGTGTTTTAAAAATGTGTGAATCAGGAAATTGTCTATATACAAAACTGAACGATTGTTCTTCTCTACTTCAAAAAACACTTTTTCCCCCCTATTTTTACATTTAAAAATTCTATATATAACATGTATGCTTAAAACCCTAATTTTATTTCAGTGTTAAATGCTGTTTAAAGTAAGAGATTATATTTAAAAATGTCTCCAGAGCTTTACTAGCTGGTGATTTTCTTTATTTGGACCCTGCTGATTTTTAATTGGTTACCCCTGAAATAGACCATTTCTCTGGATGTTTGGACCCACTATGATAGCCTCTGTGTGGACCCTGTGTAGCATAGATACAGTAGTCATTCAAAATTTCTTCACTTTCCTTGATGGGTCCTTGGTTGGTCCTCGGCTGATCCAATTCCCTTTTAAACATTGTACTAAAATATTCTTGATTCATGGTTTATGGACATTAAGATCTAAAGGGAAGCATCATTTCCTGGTCAGACCCTGTAATTCTGTGAAAAAGTGGAGTCGGAGTAAAAAAAATATGCAAGGGGGGCTCACTCCAATGGCTGGAAGTTTGAGGGGATATTGCTGGGAGTTGCAGGGAGATGGACTACCATTCGGCTGCCATTTGTTTAAAGGGCCATTTTGAATGGCTGCTACAATATGTTCATCCTGACTGCTGCTGCTGGAGTTATAAAAATGTGTGTCATTGTGAAATTTGAATAGGGATAAAGTTGGAAAACTAAGCCCTAGTGGTGGATGTTTGTTTTTGCGTTAGGGGCGTACTTAAAGATTTAATACCTGCCAACATAACTATACATGTCACTGCTCTGCCTGCTTAGAGTGCGTTCATACCTTGTCATTACAGTTGATTGTTGCTGATGACCCACTGTCGGGGTGTGTTGGCCGGTCAACCTACAGGCGGTGAAATTAAAAACACTCGGAGAATCTTCAGGCTGTACCCAGCTGTACGATGGACCGCTAGCTTGCTAGAATCAAAAGTGCTACTTTACATAACCTCCACCAGGCTCGGACTGGTAATCTGTGATACCGGGCATTTGCCCGGTGGGCCGGTCCTAATTTCAGTTTGCAAGGGCCGGCACACCTTAATCATAGGTGGGCTGGTGTAGATGAAAAAATGCCAGGGCTGAAAATCGTTCCCAGTCCGAGCCTGATCTCCACAGTGGTCTTCTCTATGTGGTAGCAGTGATTTAGACACTTCAGTGTCCTTTCAGCTTCATCTTCCATCAAACCAAATGTTTTAAGTGTTTTATGTTAGCGATGTATCGGCAGTATATCAATGTATCCAATTACTAGCTAAATCATGGACCAACCCTGGGACGTCACCGTTTGAGGTACTCCAACATGGCGGTGTTCTGTCAGACCGGCATACAAAGAGTCATTACGCATGCGCAAGACATCAGATTTGTATTTATCCCTTTAATTTTGTACGAAATATAGACTTTAAACTACTTCTAGGGCGTGTATCCCTTTAGTCATGTACAAAAAAACAATTTAAGGTCAGATCGCCATAGGCTTAAAAAAAATACCAAAAAGTAAGTAATTAAATAATTTTTTTGTACATAACTAAAGGGATGCACACACCTTGGGGTAATTTAAAGTGATTTTTCATATAAAACTAAAGGGATAAACGGGTATTGACTGTGGGTATGCTGGTCTGACAGAACAGCGGCACCCTTACCAAAAAATTATTTAAAAAAGAGCTTTTTTTTTTTATTTATATTTTTTGCATTCATCAATATCATCATTGATAATAGTAAAACACAATCTTGTGACTTATCGTAAGATTGGTTGAATGTTTAATTTTCACTTTTATAGGACCAAGATGATGTTTGCATGATCCTCATAGAATTACACTTCTTCACACAAAAACTGAAGGTCACTAAACTAAAACATACAGATTGTTATACTACCCACAACAACTGAAACTACTGTTTTCAAGAGAATTTAAAGATCTGCCTAAACTTTTTTTTATTTTCTTTTTAACTCATGAATTTTTCATTTATTCATTTGGGCTTTTCTCTGATAGACTCTTGGCCGATTATTAACAGCAAACTAACTTGTCTAGTTATTATCAAGCACCAGGAGTTGAGCAGAATTACAAAAAGAAGTAAAAACTATGTTTTTTAAATTTTATTTCCACCAGTCCTGGGATGTCTTCTTCCGGAATGCCAATGCAGGAGTCCCGCCTGGTGCAGCCTACCAACGTCCCCCAGCGACCATTCCGTCCTCTGATGGGATGACCGTTGTCCAGGGACTGGTTGGAGCTCAACCCAATGTGGAGAAACTGGTGAAAGACCATCTAGCAGTGCAGTCACTGATTAGAGCCTATCAGGTAAACCTCGAACTCTTGTGTCTTTAAGCAGTTGTTTTCTCATCTAGTTGTAAGATTTCTTGAATGGTTGAGATCAACATAAGCTTCCATTTTAGGTTTACAGCTAATACTACAAGAGAAGTACCAGTGTTTTATGTGTACTACAATATAATTACTAGTGTTGCACCAATGCCATTTTTTGGCCCCGATACCTGGCTGTGCAGTGTCGGCCGATACCATCTGTTTGAAATTGATGTGTGTGTGTCTATATGAAGAACTGCAAACTACTTGGATGTAAAATAATTACCATCATGGCTTTGTCAAGCTGCTGCCTACCTTTGTGAAGCAGGAAAAAGACTAATACAAAGTGAATCCAGTAGAATTTTCTATTACCTACCTGGAATGGGTGACAATAGTTGAATAAACTTTTGGATCTCAAAATGGTATCGGTGCCCTATTTGTTGGTACTCGCCAATATCGATACCACAATTTTAGTGCTGGATCGGGGCTCCGCCCGATTCTGGTATCGGTGCAAAACCAATCAAAGCACATTTTAAGGAAAAAGGGATAAAAATAAACACAAGCGGGTCTTTTTGCATTGGCTGCAGGGTTTTTTCTGCATGTAATTGATCTCACTGCAACACCACCACTGCACAATAAATGACGCTACAACTTCCGAATGAATAGAAATATGTTAAATTAATTTATGGCATGTAATGCAGTATACTATATATTTGTTCACTTATTCTAATCATAATCAGAGTCAAAAGTGAATTACAATATCATGAAATATTCAAATGTAACTAGCTAGTGTATAAAGTTAACTGGTAGATAAAGTGGCCGCCCTATAGGGAAGGAAAACCAGACACAGCCCAGTGTTGCTAGGGTGATCAGCCGTCCTCTAAATGTCCTCTTTTTCCCGGACATGTCCTACTTTTTAGACCTAAGAAAAATTTCGGGGTGGAATTTTCAAAATCATCAGGGATTTTTGGTCGACTACAGTGCAGGACTTAGTCGAACACACCGGGCACTCGAACCGAGCTGCCCCCCTTTTTCAGAAACCCAAATCTGGTCACCTTAAGTGTTGCCAACTTAGCGCCTTTGTCGTTATATTTGGAGACTTCTTTCAAACCTTTTAGAAACTTTTCAAAAAAGCAACTAGAGACAAATCTTTGACTTTTAACTGTATTTTGGTAAGTTTCACAACAGAGAGCAGCAGTGAGTCTACCCCTGCTTCCCTCAGCGCTGTCTCACAGGCCGCTGTGTCGTCCTGAAAGCCATGCATGCAGTTAGAGCAAACAGAGCAGAGTAAACAGAGCTGCTCCATTTTCCCACAGCTAATGTTAAACACACGATGATTCCGCCCTGGAATACAAAGCAGGATATAAACATACTATAAAGATAGTCTTTAATTAACTCTCTTCTTTTCTTCTCTAAAACTGTTGTATTAAAATAATTAGCTGATTAACACACAGCTTTAATCAGTTTTTTTAACAAGGTTTATACAATGTGGACTCAGGCAATGTATAAAAATAATAATCATACGTTACTGTATAAATTAAGGTTAGTGTATGTTGCCCTTCAATGGCATTGTAATGACTAACATAGTTAATTATGGGTTTTTCACCACGGTTAAATAAGCTGGTTGTCATTTAATGAGGTTAAAAGTTGCACAAAGGGCATTTTTTATCTGTGAACATATCAGACACAGAAAGTGTTCAGGTAGAAGCAGCTTGTTTAAAACCTTTTAACCCACTTGTGATATCAGGACAGTAAACACTGACGTGTGTGTTCCCATCAGAGTGACCTGCAGTAGAGTTTTTAGAAGGCCTAACCCGCCGGCTATCCTCGCTGACCTTTGCCCTCCTGTCTGTAGGTACGAGGCCACCACATAGCCAAGCTGGACCCCCTCGGGATCAGCTGTGTGGACTTTGATGATGCTCCGTGTACCGTTGGTTTTCAAAATGTCGGTGAGGAAAGCAACCCTGCACCTGCATCATTTTACATTTCTCTCTCATTCTATGTAATGAATGCGTGTTTCAGCCTTATATTTAAAGTCGTAGGGAAGTCATATTTAAAAGTCAAAACATTGATGTATATAAATGTACCGTAATTTTCGGACTATAAGCCGCGACTTTTTCCCCATTTTTCGACCTTGCGGCTTCTATAACAATGTGGCTTATCTATGGACTTTTACAGCTAACGGCCACTAGGGTAATACCTAAATCGATGGATTTTACCATCCACCATGTTGACGTCACATTTGCTTCAACACCCCATGGTCCTTCTTAAGCAGACTTCTACCGCAAGTGGTACGAGACAGAACAACAGCGAGAAAGATGGACGTTAAAGATAAAAAACCTGCGGCTTATAGTGCGGTGCGGCTTGTATATGTACAAATCATGTAATTTAGGCCCCGTCCACACGAAGCCAACCCCTGGCCTAAACGCACAAATTTTTCACCAAACCAGCCTCTCATCCATACGAAGCCGGCGTTTCGGGGGTCTGTAAACGATCTTTTTTTTTATTCAGCCTTCAGAGTGGGAAGATTTTGAAACGCCGTTTTCGCGTTTCCATCTTTAAGCTCTAACCGCATTTTTTTTCTTACACGCATGCGTCATAGCGTCGCCTCTAAACACGCATGCGTGACACAGTATCACAACAACAATGGCGCCGTACTGTGTTGAATGGTTGCTGCTAATGCTACTCACCCTGCTGTCGGGCTTACAACAAAATCTTCTCCTTCTGGAATATCTCCAGGAAGAACAGAGCAATATAGACGACGGTTCAGCACCTGAATTTGACTAAACCACGAAAATGGACTCGCAGGGCAACCATGTATAAATATTAGTGCGCATGCCCAACATTTCGTCGCCTATTTTTGCTTTGGCACCACAGCGCCACTTACAGGCCTGGCATACATTTTGAAGCGTTTTCATGCATTCGTGTGGACGATCACATTTATTTTACGTCTCCGTCTTTACGACAAACGTTCTGGAAAATATTAGCGTTTCGTGTTCGTTTTGACTTCGTGTGGACGGGGCCTTAGCTTCTGCGGCTTATGCTCAGGTGTGGCTAATAGTCCGAAAATTACGGTACTCTTTATCAGACATGTTTAAGCCAGAATGATTTGGCATTTTAATACGACTTCCCTACGGCTTTAAAAAATAAAATGATTTCATAATAACACAATTGGGCAGATGAAGCATGTTTTTTTGCAACATAAACGTATTAAACTGTCCTTTACAGAAGACAATGCAGCAAAAGATAAACATCAATATCTTGTTTTTGCCATGTTTTCACCTTATATCTGAACAGTTCAGTTACTCATAGTGGCAGATTAACCCGAAATTGTTCTCAAGAAAAAATTGTGATTCTCTGAAAAAATTATTACATAAGTAAAAGTAAAAACTGAGCAATTTACTCCAAAAAGTATTTTTTCTTTTCCAAAATGAACTCCAACAGTTATAACTAGTTACTACCCTCCTTTAGTTCTACTACTATGACTTATCATGAGTCATGATATGACTTATAACTATAACCGTTATGATAAAAGAGATAATGTTAGAATTTGTTGATCCACTTTTTTATCATGCAGAATTTTGCAGCTGAGGTTGTTTTAGAACATCCAGTCCAGAAAAGCGTGTTGACTGTGAGATAAGACTATTGCTTTATGATGCTCCGGCTCTATTAGGCTAAGCATGTTATCATGCTAGTGTCAGCAGTTCAGTATAAGCACACTCGTGCCAATGTGTACTCTTGGAGAGCTTCTTCTGCAGGTTTTTTTATGTGTCCTCAGCTTTCCCAAAGTCTGAATGTGAGACGGTTGGTCAGTCTTTATTGTACTCATGGGCGGTTCTAGACAGGGGGCCAACGGGGGCCAGTGCCCCTGTAGATCATGTCCTGGCCCCTGTACTGAAGATACCTATAAGAAATTCTAATGAGAAAATGGTCATTTTAACCTAAATTAAGTGAAAAATATATAAACATTTCTAAAATATGAATGTATATTGACCTAATAAGAAATATAATTTTTATTAAACCTAATTGAATAGAAATTTCACTTGATGCAGCTCTCTTAATATATTTGAATCCCTTTCCCTGTTTTTTTTTTATTCCATGCTTTTCTGTGCCCCCATGAAAACACCCTGGCCCCCTCCTGCCCCCCTGGTATATTTGGTCTAGAATCGCCACTGATTGTACTGTCCTTATAAAGACAGTTTGCTCCTGTAAACAGTCTGTTTTGGATTCAGAGAATACTTAATAAGGTGAACCAAGATTAAACATGTTTTGTTAAAAATGTTAAATGACAAACATTGACCTTTACTGCTGTGAAAAACTGTGTGCTTTCTGGTCACATGTTGTCTTTGTGCCGGATGAAAGGCTTGGGCCTACGAGTTCACATCCAGATGATTGTTCTGACCTCTAATGGAATGTTGCCATGGTTACTCGTGTTATTGTGTATTTTCTGTGAAAGGGTCACAGAGGTCAGGCAAGGGGTCAGTGATGAGACCTGAAATCATTGGGATGGCAATTAACTGGACACCTAACCAGCAGTTTGTTTGTTTTGTCCGTTTTTTTCCTCCTGAATGTTCTGTGCAGTAGCGACGGAGCCGAAAGGTTTTTATGGGGTTGGCCACGCAGTGACCAATGTGCACGTGGGTCAACCAGTTTAGTACATTATTTTTTTTTTATAATTTCCAAAAGAGGGACCAGATTTTTTTCAAACATATGTAGGAGTGAGTTATGTTCCATTATTGTTGCAAGAAAAAAAACATGTCTGTAAATGGACTTCGAAAAAAAAAAATTCTATTTTTCATACTAAAAAAGGTTTTCAGGTTAGTTAAAACTGTTGTTTTTTAAATTAGTTTTTAATGTTTTATGCATTGTTTAAATTTCTTTTCTCAATCTTTAAACGTATTCACATCTTTTAAAATGTCCTTTAACTTATTTTAGTATCTGCTGTGAAAATAGAGGAAGTTAGACGAAGGCGTAGTCCATCCCATAACGTACGAACATCAGAGCACTAAAATGGAGAAATATAACCTTATACAGTGGGTATCTTCTAAAATGCTAATAAACCTGTCTACACTTTGTTTATCCTGGGAGAAGCTTTTTCTCTTCATTAAGTTTTAGATAAAAATATTTTATAGGATTTGTATTCATCCTGTTGTGCGAGCGTTTCCCTCTTAAAAACCTCCAAATTAAATCGGGTGATTCAAACGAACCTGCTGTGTTTATCCCCGCTGTGGGAATCTAGCCTAGGTTAGCTACGCCTTACTACCAGAAATAATAACTGTGAACACTACAAGTACCCAGTAGAAAAGTGCAGCAGTAGAAGCTGTGTTTTAAAGATCTGCTTGACAGAGTAACTTAGAGATATCAGAGAAAAAAGTACTGACTTCAGACCGAGATAACCTGAACAGCAGCAGTAAATGTAGCTCAGCAGTCAAAAAGTGAAGTATATGAGATATGTCTCCCAAAAAGCCGCATTAGCACTCCTTACGTGGCAATACATGTCATCTGAAGGAACTTTACAGAGACCATTCATACAGTCAGATTGGCTCAAAGATCACATAATGGATATTTAGGAATCCCTCGTTAGTGCTTCTGGACTAAACAAATATTCGATAAATATTTTTTACAATAAAGTTTGTTTCATCCTATTTATGGTATCCACTTTTAAGGAATTTTTTTCAGTGTTGTAATGTTACCACTGTTCCCTTGAGGGCGCTGTTCATTCTTAAACAGAGGCTCGCTGGTATTTGCAAGAGAAGTAATGCCAAAGTAAAGGCACGGTGCAGAAGACACATAAATTGATTTAGAATTCTGTCTGGAGTTATTTAGATTTTAATAGCAGCAAGGATGTGGAATAGACTTTGTTTTGTTTTTTTTGTAAATATTAGCACTTGAATAAAGTCTTTAGGCTATCATTTAAATAGCCCCTATTTAGCCTCGCTGCATGGTGGAGCAGCATCAACTTCTCCTCTGTGCTTGAAAGGCGAGGATGTGATGACAGAGAAGTGGACCACATTACATTAAAGATTGTAAAATTATAGAAAATGTCATGCTTGAATTTAACAACTTAGATTGGAAAGTAGATAATGTGAGTTCATTTCATGGAGTCCAGTTTTAAAATTTATCTTAAAATATGATATTGTACTATGATCATTATATTTTGCTGCCATATTGTGAAATAATATTTAGCCCTCCATGCTATGGAAATATCCTCAAGTTTTTAAGGTAATTGCTGCCTATCAATTGTTTATTAGTAATCTTTAAGACCGATCAACTTTAGGTTGATTCTTTAAATGATAACTTGCATCCTTAAATCTAAATTAAAATCATTTGGTGGGTTTGGTGACAACGTACGGTACCTCAAAATTGTAAATTATCTGAGTAAAGTACAAATAGTAAACTAAAGTAGCTAAGCTGCCAAAATAAGAATAAAAATGAGGACTTCCAGAAAGCCTGAAAAAAAAAAAAATAAGTCAAACATATCTTTAAAGATTTTTGAGAAAGTAAAGTAATCTTTACAATAACAGTAAGTCAGATTAAATTACAGTGGGATAAATTTTGCTGCTGTATAAAACATCCAGTAAAACAACAGGCAGTGTTTCTGCTTTTAGGAAAATATTATCATGCTTTCCAGGAACCTTTGAGGAAAGTGATTAGGAACTCCGAGGCCATTAAAGCTGATGTTTGAGTTGTAAGCAGAATGAACAGCTGATTAGAACCCTGAGGAGACCCGAATGCAGAACTTATTGTTCCTTCTTTAAGGAGTTATCTTAGAGTCTGATAAAGACAGCTTAGATTAGGAGTGTTCAAAGTGTGGCCCCAGGGACGTTTGTTACTCTGGAGGAGTTTGGCCCCACCTGGCGGGGTCTGTGGTTTTACTTCCTGGAAGGAGTCCTTTCAGCAGGATTCCTCGGTTCATGTAATCTGCCATGTTACAGTTGGATGATAAGATTAAAGGCAGATATTCAGAAGTTTTTTTTTTTCCTTTAGTTTTCCCCATAGAGGTTTTCTTTGTTCTCAGGTTTGCAATCCTTCCTTATCTGTTTCCATTTCACCTCTTTACACAGATCAAATTTATATTTAGTTAGATTCTGTTTAAGAAGATCTCTTGTTTTCCTCAGGTTTATACGGACTAACAGAGAATGACCTGGACAAGGTTTTCCGGCTTCCCACAACCACTTACATCGGCGGCAGTGAGAGCTCTCTGTCACTCAGAGAGATTATTCGCCGCCTCGAGGTAGGAGTGTTGCTAAAATAATCAAAACACACACAATAGATGAAAAAAAAAAATCGTAGTGTGCAGCCTTCTTTAACACACCTGGATTAAATAATGGTTCCTTGGAAAACAAACATCTAAAACATGCAGGACAGCAACCAGATAGGCTGACTTTGTAGCACTTCACTGTAATTTTATTTTTAATATTTCCTTGTACGTTGCACATTTTTCACTATAAACGGTCAATTACTAACTAAGTATTTTAAACTTTATTCTAGTGGTTGGCATAGATATATATATTTTTTTTAAATCTAGATTTACCTCAATGTAATCTTGGAATTAATCTAGATTAGCCTCGATTAAAACCGCTAATTTGAATTCTGCCAAAGACAGTCATGATATGCATTTGCTTCCTCCAGAATTTAAAAGAAAAGGTTAACTTTTTTTATGTTTGCAAAATCACACGGAATTTCATCTTTACTTACGATTTTGACAGTTATAAATACGTTTTTTTGCTCATTTGTTAGTGTGTTTTTGCTGCTAAGAGAAAAAGTGTCCCACTTCTAATTATAGATGTCTCAGTTTGACATACCCAGACTGGCCATAGGGAGAACCGGGAGTATTCCTGAAGTGCCGGTGTTCTGACAGATGAGCATACCCAGTCAGACCAGCATACCCATAGTCAATACCCGTTTATCCCTTTAGTTTTTTTGTGAAAAATAAACTTTAAACTACCTCAACGGGCATGTATACCTTTAGTCATGTACAAAAAAACAAGCATATGGCGATCTGACCTTAAATTGTTTTTTTTTGTGCATGACTAAAGGGATACACGCCCATTGAGGTAGTTTAAAGTCTATTTTTCATTAAAAAAAACTAAAGGGATAAACGCAAATCTGACGTCTTTTGCATTCCTATTGACTATAGGTATACTGGTCTGACGGTGTATATGCTCATCTTTAAATCTGCAGCTCTCCCTGCTTCTCTCTGTGCTCTGTTTAAAAAACATTTATGAACCTATTTACTAATATAATGATGCCAGCAACAACATTTCAAAATATGTAGAAGCTCTGCAGTCAGATTCCGTCTGTATAATAGGAAAACATTTTAAGCTGTAACTGGGAGTCATGGTCCTCTGAGAAGCCCAGCTTTTCTAAGTTGTAAAGAAGAACAAACTGTTTTCTCAAGCTTCGTGCATGATATTACTAACTTGTATAAACTTACAATCTTTTGCCGTTTTAGCTGAAAAAGCTTTGTATGTCTAAAGAACAGATTTTTTGGTGGCATGATCTCAAATGTTTTTACACAACCTGTCCTCTAACTTTTACTTAACCCTTTAAAGGGCAAGTTAGCATTTTTGTTCACTTACATACCCCTTACAAATGGAGTACACCCAGGAAACATGCAATTGGCCTTGAATGATATATTAACTTTTGCAAATTAAGTTGTGAAAAAAAAAACAAGTCAAGAAGAAAAGGTAAAAAGCTGATTTAAAAGTCAAAGAGTAAAGTTAAAAAGTTAATAAGCCTAGTTTACAATTATATTTAGGTTTCTAAACTAAAAAATGTAATTACCAGTATCGGCATTAATGCCTCTAAGATTATATTGTACCAAAAAAAAAAAGAAATTCATGTTTTTCATGAATTTCTTATAGAAACACTTTTGTTATTTTTCTTAATATATTTGGGCAAGTTGGCGTTTCTTGTTATTACATTGATATTAATTTTTGCTATCAAAATATCCATATTTTTTAATGTTACAAAGGTAATAAGGTCTTGTCCTAGATTCCAATAACACTATCTGCTTGAGATGAGTGCCCTATAAAAGATTAAACATCAAAGTAGCTGCTGGTTAATATTCACTGAGTGCTGCTGTGTGTCTCTCCTCCAACCACGTAGCTACTCGGTACGCAGTGAAATCAGATGTTTCAAAGCGACAGATCGGGCGATAAAACACTGAGAGGCGGGAGAGAGGAAAAAAAAACATTTGTCAAAACGCTCCAAACAGTTAGCTGCACCTAACCTCTGTTACCTTTGGCTAAAGTAAATGAGCGGAAAGGAGGTAAAAGCAGTTAAAGTTACTGGTGGGGACATGTCCACACCAGTCCATCAGAAAGTTGCGCCTGTGCGGCCCTCCACTACATTATTTGGACAAATCTTTCTTGATCGCCCCTTTACTAGAACACCTGACTTTTAGTCCAGCACATAGCCAGTCATCTTTCTGTTTTCTAGACAGCCTACTGTCAGCATATCGGAGTGGAGTTCATGTTCATAAACGATGTGGAGCAGTGCCAGTGGATCCGACAGAAGTTCGAAACACCTGGAATCATGCAGTTTTCTTTGGAAGAGAAGAGAACCTTGCTTGGTAGAATGATCCGGTCCACCAGGTCGGTCTGTTTGGTTCTTCTCTTTCAGAGTCTGGAAGTATCAGAACCACTGTCTCAGTTCTGTGATGCATCTGTTCTCACCTGTGCAGGTTTGAGGAGTTCCTCCAGAGAAAGTGGTCTTCAGAAAAACGCTTCGGTTCAGAAGGCTGCGAGTCGCTCATCCCGGCCCTTAAGACCATCATTGACAGGTCCAGTCAGTGTGGAGTGGAGAGTGTGATCCTGGGAATGCCTCACAGGTACAGAAAATATAAAACGCTATTCCTAAAAGCGGGTGTTTTCTAAAGCAGGGGTCTTTAACGTTTTCCAGGCCAAGGACCCCCAAACTGATGGAGAGATGGAGCAGGGACCCCCTAATTATATAAATTGTATGAAATAGTACTCTATCAAACTGGTCCTATAGTCACTCTATTACAGGTGGAGTCATGTAACTAAAGTAATTTCTCCCTGGGATTATTAAAGTATTTCTGATTCTGATTCCTGGTTGATGGGACAGGTGTTGTGAATGAAACGGTGTCCAGCTTGAAAGAGCTCCTGTGTGTCGCTGAATGTGTGCATTGATGACTGAAAGACAATTAGTGTGTTAGTGTGGATTTAAAGACATTTCAATTCGTGGATAAAGTTGCATGGGGGAATATGTAAAAAAAAAAAAAAAAAAAAAGTCAACCAAAACTTTCGCGACCCCCATCAGGGCTCGATGTTAACCATCACCCTATCTCCCGGGGCAAGTAGTTTTTATTGTCGGGAGAGTACAAATTTCATTGCATTTGCCCGTCGGGCAAGGTGCAATGATCGCAAAAAAAAAAAGATTTATCGCTCAAAATTACTTTAAAATCACCGACATTCGATGAAAACGACCCAGAAGCGCTGCCGGCGCCATCTTTGTTGTTTTGTACACATTCTCGCGTGATTTGAAACAGCCGGGTGATTTTCCGCCAGATGGCGTAATTTTTGTCCACCTAGCGGTAATTTTGATGTAGTTACCAAAACGACAAATGGCTGCATTTATTTTGTCAGGGAAAACTAATCCTGAGTCAGTTAAAAGTCAGGGAATTCTGAAATGATGTCAGACTGTGGAAACCCTGTATAAAATAACTATGTATAATGATTCTCTAGAAAAGTCCCATTATATTAATAGTATCATCTTGTATAAACATACCGTGACTCTAAAATAAAAGTTATTAATTTGTGACATTGACTTCTGTCTTGTGATTTATCTTTAGTTTTTAACCTGTCAAGTTTTTTTTTTTAGATTTTTAACATTACAATTTATATTTTTCCAAGCACACAACAGTTTCAAGCAAAGTTTAGTTTGAAAAGAATGTGCAGGAAGGATTGAAAAGCATTTTAACACGGTAATGTAGGCTTGGGTTCATTATCTGACGCATGCATATACACACCAGGAACCTGGAAACTTAAAAAATACTGAATTACAAAAAACATTTAAAAAACAAACATGTTTTCACTGATATATATACAAAAAATGAATATTAGGAGCTATATTTATCAAACATTATACTGGGCAAGTAAAAATTTTTTCTGGGCAAATGAAATGTGAAAGGTAAAAATCCTTAACATCAACCCCTGCCCATGCAGTACCTCCATGGACCCCCTAGGGGTCGCGGACCCCCTGTTAAAGACCTCTGCTCTAAAGCAAATATTTCAGCCTGGCCCTAAAATATATATGCAACGCACTGGCCACCCCTAAAAGTACTTACAATTACTTTACTCTATATTTATTTATGCAAAGACAGTGCAACTTTAAGTTTGTAGATCTAATATATCAAAATGTAAAATGCTTCCAGTGTATGGATAATTTTTTACCTTGGACTGTTCTGTCAGGCAAAGTATCCTCACTGATTTTAAATGTGATTTTTGTTATTATCGGTTTCTTTCAGAGGCCGGCTGAACGTGCTGGCCAATGTCATCCGGAAAGAACTGGATCAAATCTTCTGCCAGTTCGACTCTAAGCTGGAGGCTGCTGATGAGGTTTGAACAATAAGATCAAGGGCAGACATATGTTTTTGTTAATGGAACTATCTCCAGATAAGTTTCTAAATATCATCACTTTAAAGCAAATATTATTATTATAATGGAGTCGATTTTGTAGCATTTTTGTTGCGAGCAAGCATCAATACTTTAAAAGAAAGTTTAAAATATAACATATCAGAGGGGAAAAAAATACACTTTTAATGCCTTTTTTAAATTAACAAGTTTAACAAAGTTGTGTTTCTGATATAATACTTTTCAAATTTCAGTTCAATTTTTTAGTTTTTTTTGTTTTTTAATTTAGAAAATATTTCCTTTGCTTGCAACAATAATGGAACGAGCTGTACTCCATACATAATGGCAACATGGAAAATAGCACTTTGTTTATATTGTTTATGTTGTGTCTAGGCCAGAAACACCAGGAGCTTTTGGCTCATCTGGAATAGATAACTAAAGAAGGAATTTTTAGCAATTTTTATATTCTCTTTATTATGATTTCCCTCTAATCTTTAAAACCAGTAGGTAGAGCCATGTGCTGTAACTGTTTGCTGTCTGTGTTTAGGGCTCAGGAGATGTGAAATATCATTTAGGTATGTATCACCGGAGGATGAACCGAGTCAGTGATCGGTTCATCACCCTGTCGCTCATGGCCAACCCATCCCATCTGGAGGCTGTGGACCCGGTGGTGCAGGGGAAGACCAAAGCTGAGCAGTTTTACTCTGGAGACACCGATGGGAAGCGGGTCGGTGAACTCAGGAGTCAAAGAAAAAACGTTTTTCCTGATAATAGACAGGCTTAAAATCTGAAACTCTTTTCAGGTGATGTCTATTCTGCTCCATGGGGATGCCGCATTTGCAGGCCAGGGAATTGTGTACGAGACGTTCCACCTATCGGACCTGCCGTCCTACACCACCCATGGCACCATCCATGTGGTGGTCAACAATCAGGTATTTGCTTTTAATCTGAATGAGGTAGAGACCTGCACTTATCAGCGAAAACTAGAGCCCGACCAATATGAGATTCTGGAGGATGAAAACGATATATCTAAGTTGCAGAAGCATTTCATCCCATTCACAGCATCATCAGGTGCTATTAATGTTTTTGGCTTAGTAGCTGGTTTGCTATGAGGCTAAATTTATCTTTGGCTAAATGTTGTCATACCTTTGGCTGTTGTCTGGAAACAGGCTGTTTCCTTCAAAGTCGTCTAGCAAGGCAGCAAACCCGTTTTTTAGCGGAATACCTTTATTCTCAGTAATCTCAGTGGGTTCTTACTTATCTTTGTTTTGGAAATACAGCTTTTTGCACTTGGAGTAGAAGATGTGTTTCTCTGAAGTCTTGGCCAAGTTTTGTAATCTAAATGAGGCGTTTGCCCTGTCGGGTGTCTTTTCAGACCTGGGTTAGATTGTTTTTCCTTTGGCAGCTACTGGCCTGGTTATTGTCTCAGTGTTTTGAGACACTGGCAGGGTCGACAGTGACAAGGTCGTATCATTTCCGTAACCAGTATTTACTTCCACACTCACTTCCAGTCCGTTAATCTTAGTTTCCATGACAGCCGTCCTCTGTAGAACCTTGTTGAAGTCACATGCGGTGAAGGAAGGCGTCAAGTTCTGATGTGGACTTGTCCTTCTCTGGGATATGATTAAAACAACACAAAAATGTTTTTAAAAAAAGTTCCATCTAGAGAATGCTTGAAGAAATGAGTCTTGTAAAGCTTTATGTTACTTTGGCTAAGAGAGGAAAAGGTTAAAGGTAAGAAAAGTATTAGGAAGCGGGGAGTGAGGAGGAGATGCATCTGGGCAGGCAGAGAGGTGGGAGAGAAGAAAAGTATATCCAGAGGCCTCGGCGCGACCATCACAGGTTCAATCCCCCCCATCCCAATTTTCTGTTCGACTACATTTGAAAAATACAGAAAAATAAAGGCTAGTTACAGTACTGGCAATGCTATATTCCCCTCCTTTGTTAAAAAAACTAAACAAATAATAGATCCAAAAGCCTGTTGACTGTTCATGCGCTGTTGCTATGTTCATATAGCCACAAATCTGTTATTTATTGCCGGATTTAACCTGACAAATAAAATTATATAATACAAGAATTGCTATTATTATATAATCTATAATTGTAATTATCATATAAAATGGTTCCTTAAGGTGGATCTAAAGCCCCTGTCACACCTTGATGATTTAGACCAGCCTGATGTACGAAAAATCTGGCAAAAATTCTGGCATACGTTGGATAAGTTATGGGTACATTAAGTTATGAATACGCTGGAAAATTCTGGGCATGCTCAAAATTTGTCTTCGTATGCCATATGTGGGCCATAAGTTAGATAAGTTATCTGATCGTTGACGTACGTTGAGTGTAAGTTCATGTCATGGCGTCTAGCTTATCTGAAACCTATGAGTAACTTGTGCATAACTTATGTGTAACTTATCAAGAACTTCTCTCCAACGCATGTCAACGTATTTGCTGTGTTCCAGACAAGCGCTGAACATGTCTCTAACTTCCAGCTACTGTATAATGGCGTCTCGGCAGCATTTTGGTATAAAGACCAACAAACGTCCTAGCAGACTGGAAGCTGAATCTGCTGCGACTCCAAACCTTCTTTCTTTTTCTTTTTGTTCTTTTTTTTTTGAGCGGTGGGTAAACAGAAGCTAGGTTAAGACCGCGATCAAAGTAATCTTTTTAAGCAGGCCGGACTCCTCATGGTTGCATAAAAGCAGCTTTAACTGATGCTTCGTAATGCCCATGAAATAATGCTTCTGCATCGTTTAATGAGCATTATGCTGTTATGCTTTATTTATAAGTTAGGCTGTCGTTGGACATAAGTTCTGGACTCGTTATGAATACTTTATGTATGCGCCCAAAATTGAAAAAATAAATAGAAAGTCCAGCGTATGCTAGTGTTTTAGAAGATTATGGGATATCGAGCATACGTTTAAAGTGTGACCAGGCCCTAACCTTCTCATGAAGCTAGTTGTACTGGATAGGCCGTGCTAGTGTTTTAACACTTTAGGGTGTTTATGTCTTACCTAGTCTCTAACATTATTTTACTGTTTTTTTTTGTTGTTGTTGTTTTTTTTACAGTGTCCTGTCTGGCAATGTGGCAATAAGAATAATTGTCTTGATGCCAAAAAGAGCCCAACAGATTTTACTTTCACAAGTGGAGCAGTATGGCAATTGCCATATTGCTCCACTTGTTTCATGCATATAAATTGCTTTATTATAATTATGCAGGGAGTTTTACAGTTTATATGGAAATAGAGCAGAAATCAGAAGAAGAAAAAAAAAAAGAAAAGATGAAAGAAAGAGAAAATAGAAAGGAGACAATGACAAAACATTTTCAGTCTGCTTCATCACCTGTAACGAGATGTAAAAAGAACAGCACAACCGAAAGACACGATACGAGATATACAATAAAGCAACACCTTGAAACTATCGCTAAAGTAATATTATTAAGTCTGACATGTACTCTGTGTTACCTGAAGATATGAATGTGGGGTTTCTGTATGGAAGTGAATCTCTGAGTACCTGGAGCCAAGCACCTGTAGTTGTTTGTGAGGGTGAACTTGTGCATGTAAAGTTTATCCATAGAAAAAATGCTCAATAGTGGTTGTGGAGAACTGAAGAGGCGCACCCCCCAGAGCACTGAGTCCAGCGCCGGGAGACCCAAAGCCCCAGGCACCCAAAGGGACCCCAAGAGCGAAGGCACCAAGGAGGGGCCAGCCCCGGAAATCAGACCCCCACCAAGGTGTAGGAGAGGCAGCCCCGAGGAAGCCCCCCTAGCCGCCACCACGCCGGCGCCCCGGGGGCGAGTCCGCTGGCTCTGCCGGCATTATTTTACTTTTTGATGGCAGCTCTTTGTTGTTTTTCCGCTTCCTCTCTATTCCTGCTGGTTCCTGACCATCTCTCGTAACTGTAAGGGAATGCTTCTCTGTCTGTCCGGTTGAAACAGAAACAGAAACGGAAAGGAGGATTTGTGGGGTGTGTCTGTTGTTCTCCCTTATCACTACTGCTCTGTCTGTGGGAGAATTAGTAAGGCAAAGTGAAATGCAAAAATGACAGTTTTTAAAGAAAATTGGCCAAAACAGAACAACTGGTAACACTCGATCATAAACCGCTGAGCTGGCCAGGTCAGGGCAGCAGAAAATAACCCATCTCTCCCGATGACATGTCCGCACTGGAATCGGCCACAATCAAAAAAACTCCATACGATGAATCATGATAAGTTTATGTTGAGTTTAGGTTTCGAACGTCAAACTTGCAGCCACAATAAATCACCTTATGGCCCTTTGTGATGCATGCAGATTGGATTCACCACAGATCCCAGGATGGCCCGCTCATCCCCATACCCTACAGATGTGGCCCGAGTCGTGAACGCACCCATCTTCCACGTCAACGCAGACGACCCAGAGGCTGTGATGTTTGTGTGTAACGTAGCGGCAGAGTGGAGGAACACCTTCCACAAGGACGTCGTCGTAGATCTGGTATAGTTTTTTTAACTGTATGTATTAGGAATACAAGTTATTAATAAATAATTTATTCTCAAGTCCATAAGTTGGATCAATAAGTTGATCCAACTTATTCATCAACTAATAAGTTTTTAATAAGCTGCAATTATTTTTACAACAAACTCAGTTTTTGTCTTGTATCAAAGCGATCGTAGCATTAACATTAGGAGCTGAATAGTTATTTGAAAATATGATGCATTTAAAAAAAGAATTATTACACCATTATATATTATATAATTTATTTTGCTACCTATATTAGATACCGACTGAATGAACACAAATATATTTCACATTATTACATTAATTTATAAGATATAACAAAACAGGAAAGATTACTGAAGGAAAACTAGATAAATAAAATATGTGTAACATTTATGATGTCCAATGTACAGTGAACTGCTGGAAGTCGTTTTGAACAGTGAGTTTTGGTACAAAAGACCTAGGAGCCTATTGAAAATACAATAAAGTAATAGATAAAGTAAATAGATTGAGATGCACTACTTTATCATCATATACACTTTTCATTGCACGCAGCCAGGGTCTATAACACAGCTGACATCATCAGTTCTCAGGTGAAAATGTGTGCTTTTAATTAAACTTCACAATAACACCATGACATGGATCCAGGCTCAAAATTAGCTCCTTGATATGTGCTTTAGAATGGTCTTAGTCTCCATTCAAACCCAGGTTTAAAGCCTTGCAGGGCATTATAAAGCCCACTGCGAACATTAAGACAGAAAAAAGGAAGAAAAAAACAGTCAGTTCAGGTGTTTTATTTAAAAAAAAGTCAGGAAATTGTCTATATACCAAACTGAAAGATTGTTCGCTACTTCAAAAACAATTTAGATTTCAAAATGGAAAAACATTCTATTTTTTTATATTTTTTATTTAAAAAGTCAATGTATAACATGGATGCATAAAAACCTCCATTTTATTTCAGTATTAAAAGCTTTAAAGTAACAGATTATAATAAAAAATGTCTCCGGACCTTTACTGGTGATGATTTTCTTTATTCGGACCCCGCTGGTTTTTAATTGGTGACCCCTGAACTAGGCCATGTGTACAACTATCATTTAATGACAGGATGTGTCACTCTGACATACTGTCAGTGTTTTCCACGTTAAACTGGATGCTAGCTGTGATACAGCCCCCTGTTTCTAATGTGACCCAGTGTTCAATGCTGGGAGAAACTGTGCTGCAAGAAGAGGCTTGGTGGTTAAATGGATGCTATTTTGGTGCCATCTAGTGGATGGCAGCAACATTACAACAGTTAATTTAATTTTTTTAATATATAATTTTTTAGTAACCATTTTTCGATAAGTAATTATGACATAATTTTTTTGCATCCTAAGTATGTATGAATTATAAAACAATATCCTTTTTTATAGAAATCAAAAATGTTTTATTAGCCATGAAAGAGACAAAATGTATGAATTCTCCGTTTGGATCTATATAAAAGAAAATGTGGAATATTTGTAAACAATAATGTATATATTTTACTTTTTTAATGTGTTCCTGCATCAGAAACCTAAATATTCCTAACTAATTAAATACATTTTTTGACATGTTTTCCGTATTTCTTGCACATGTGAGCAACTCGGGATGTTTCCACATTAACTTAAACATGAGGTTTTATATGTTATGTACCGGGGCCATTGTGTCATTAAATGTTTGGATTGCAGGTTTGTTACAGGCGTAACGGCCACAATGAGATGGACGAACCAATGTTCACCCAGCCACTCATGTACAAGCAGATAAAAAAGCAGAAAGGAGTGTTGCAGAAGTTTGCAGAAAAACTCATTGCTGAAGGAGTTGTCACCATACAACACTATGAGGTAATTCACCAACATCTGATGTAGAGCATTTCATTTAATTATTATTCATCTATTATTCATCGCTTAAAGACTGAATTTCAATTCATAAGATTTAATTATATTTTGAGATACCACAAAACCTCACACATTTTCCTTTATGAAATTCAAACCTGTGTCTCTCAGGAGGAAATAGCTCGATATGACAAAATCTGTGAAGAGGCTTATGCTCAGTCCAAAGATGAGAAGATCCTCCACATCAAACACTGGCTGGACTCTCCTTGGCCAGGTAACTCCTTTATATTAATCATTTATGGCGGAGGTCTTCAACAGGCGGTCCGCGACCCCTAGGGGGTCTGTGGAGGTACTGCATGGGGGTGCGAAAGTTTTGGTTGATTAGACTTGTTTTTTTTTTACATCCCCCCCCCCCCCCCCCCCCCTGCAATTTTTTTTCTCTAATTGAAATGTCTTTAAATCCACATTATCATGAATTCAACACACTGTAGTAAACAGATAAATGGAGGCAGAAGATGTCTTTCAGTCATCAATGCACACATTCAGTGACACACAGGAGCTCTTTCAAGCTGGGAACCGTTTCATTCACAACACCTGTCCCATCAACCAGGAATCAGAATCAGAAATACTTTAATAATCCCAGGGAGAAATTACTTTTGTTACATGACTCCATCTGTAATCGAGTGACTATAGGACCAGTTTGATACAACACAATTTCATACAATACATCGGAGCTCCGCAGGTTGCCGCAGATTTTTTGAAATTATGCATTAAATCAGTAAATCGACCATATAGTGACGATTAAAAGTGTAATGTTCTCTCCTCAAAAGATCTTAAAACATACTTTTATTGAAAAACGGCAACAGAAAAGAGAACTTTTAACTTAATCTCTGAGATCTGTGATCAGTGCATGCTGGGACAGCTGTCAATCTCAAGAACAGACAAGTCTGCTCTGATGTGAGAGCAACATCCAGGGACTTTGTCCGTTTTCTGTCTGCTGTTCTTGTGAATTGGAACAGTAGTAGGGCTGAGGATGATGAGGTTTCATGAGTACACAAGTACATAACACACATGTACACGTATTGAGAAACAGCCTTTGGCTTCTGTGGCCCCCCTCAAATGCTACCGGCCTACCCTGGTCTGTCCCTCTGTCTGACAGGTGCGCCGCAGCTGCACCAGCAGACTTAAAAAAAACAATGTAAAAAAACAAAAGAGAGATGCAGGCCAATCCCAGGCCACTGCTTTGGGAATACTCCCAGTGTAGCTACCAGATCTGCTCGGGTCCTGCTTCATGACAATGACATTACGCTACATGATTGGCTGAACGTTGCCACATGACGCAAAAACATTGTGGTTGCCCAGACAACCATAATAACATTACGCAGCTCAGTGTTCCGAGTCGAGAGCATCTGTAGCGTTAGCGTGTCTAATGACTGATGAAGTTTTACCTGATCGATAAAAAAACTGAAAAAAATCTGTTTATGCTGAACAAAGTAACTGTTAGACCATGATATAAAGGGGGAGAGCTGGGTAGCACTGTAGCTAGCTGTGCTCATTAGCTAACAGGTTAGCCTCTTTTAGCTCGGTCAGTTAGCCACATTAAGCTACACTACTTTTAAATTCATGTCAAGAACAAACATTCGTTTTCTCCAAGTAAAATAACTGTTTTATTTGTCTAAAATCTCTATGAAAGTCATTTTTGAGATGTTCCATTTGTCCTTCCTGCCCTCAGATCTTAGTAAAGAGAATAAAAATGCCTGATATTTTTGTTTGGAGACCAAAGTTTATTTTGAAGAATTTGAAATTAGGTCAGAGCAATTGGAATGTACTGAAAAGTCCAATTCACAATGAAGATGTGGGGTAAATAAAAATGATTTGGTAAAATATCCTAGTAACCTTCTGTCATTGTTCTGAACATGGTGTCCTGGAGGTGCTCCGCAGGGTTCAGTGCTTGGACCCTTTCTCTTTTGGTTGTACTTGCGCCCCATCCTGAGAAGGCACTGCATCTCATATCATTTTTAAACTGATGATAGTTAGATATATATTTAAATCCTTTTTAATATCCTAATGAGAAAAAACCCTGAAGACATGGTGCTTTGTTCCAGAAACCTTTGCTTTGACTTTTTTCTTTTCAGAGATTTTTTAAAGTCTTTTATCTCAAACATTGTCTGTTTTCTTTTCTGTTACTCTTATCCTTTTCTGTGTGTTAAATGCCTGCATGTTGTTTATTCTGAATGGAGCAAATCCAGTTCAATACCTTAGCAGTTTGAAATTGAAACATCAGCAATGAGTTGCATCTTTGCTCTTTATCTTCAGGTTTTTTTACTCTAGAAGGTCAACCTAAAACCATGCGCTGCCCTTCCACCGGCATCAGCGAACATGAGCTCTGTCACATTGGAAACATTGCCTCCTCTGTCCCATTGGAAGATTTCACGATACATGGAGGTACTCTCCACCCTCCCACTCTGACTGTAAGAAAGTCCTCCCAGTGAGCCATATTTAAGCTTCCTGTTTCTGTTGGTCAATCACACTGCAGGGTTGAGTCGTATTTTAAAGGGACGTGCAAATATGGTGAGCCAACGTATCTGTGATTGGGCCCTCGGAGAATACATGGCCTTCGGCTCTCTGCTCAAAGAGGGCATCCATGTGCGTCTCAGCGGGCAAGATGTAGAGAGGGGGACATTCAGGTAACAGCAAAACATGGTAAATGCTGAGTTTTGTTCTTTCTCAACACATGAGGTAAAGTAACTTCCTCAGTCGGCCTCGGCAGATGGTCGCTCACACTGAGTCTGATTCTGCTGGAAGTTTCTTCCTGTTAAAGGGAGTTTTTCCTCTCCACTATCGCTACAAGCATGCTTAGTGTGAGGGATTTCTTTCTAGTCAACGAGTCGATGCAATCAGCTGGTTTTCCTTAGATGGAAAACTTTGAATCAGTTTGACTGGATGATCTGGTTGAATTTGTTAAAGAAAACAAGAAAATTATGTTGTTTTCTTCTGAGAGGTTAACTACTGTGCTACTGGTAATAATGAACTACACTGGTTAAAGATAACTGGGATTCATTTGCACAAAAGGTTAAAAAAAAAACGTGCTGCTCAGTGCTACACTAGTTTGAAACCTGAATCTTATGTTATTTTATTGTAGTTGGAGAAATGTAATTAGATTTGTCTTTTTTGAACTTGGTTAACTTATTTTTTTTTAGCGTTTTCATCCCCCCCCATTACATTTGTATACAATGTTACAATAAAAAATAATTATATAAAATAACACGTTTATATTTACGCTTGTTTTGTATTTTCTTTCATAGCCATCGGCATCACGTTCTCCATGACCAGAACGTTGATAGAAGGATTTGCATCCCCATGAACTACATCTCTGCAGATCAGGCTCCTTACACTGTCTGCAACAGCTCTTTATCTGAGTACGGAGTCCTGGGTGGGTGGCACAAGTACTGACACGGCTACTAAACCTCAACATTGTTAACAAAAAATTCTTAAATTCTACCATGCTGTTTGTTTTATCCCTGCACAGGTTTTGAGCTAGGCTTTGCCATGGCCAGTCCCAATGCTCTGGTTCTGTGGGAGGCCCAGTTTGGAGACTTTCACAACACAGCTCAGTGTATTATCGACCAGTTTATCAGCTCGGGACAGGCCAAGTGGGTCCGACAGAACGGCATAGTGCTGCTGCTCCCTCATGGCATGGAGGGGATGGTAGGAACAAAGATCTGCTATATTATGGAGGGATATTTGGTCCATTATTATTAAAAACAACATTTGTAAATGGAGGTTTGAAAAAAAAAAATTAAATCCAGAAATTTTAATTCTGTGAAACGTCTTTAAAAAATTGCTGTTTTCTCTGGTTTTATTTTTTTCAAACTTCATTTATTTTTCAAAATTCTCTTTTCCAGATTAAGATTTACTTTTAAATTCTCTTCACATCGAGCCCAATTCAAAATAGGGCTAGAATACAAATGTATTGCTAAAGTCCATGCACACCAATTAAAATCAGCCTTCCCCATAAATCCAGAGGAAAGCCCGCCCCCAGACGTAAAGGCAATGTATTCTTTAAAATAGAATTTATAAGATTCTTATGTATTAGGGATGGAACGGTTTATGAAAACCGTACGAACTGTTCGGTTCGACTGTCTCTGTTCGATTCGCGTGTGTTGCGTTCGGTGCATGCGCTGCTCCTTTTTCTCATAGGGGAAGCGTTTACACTCCAGAGCAGAAGGTGGCGGTACTGCGACCAAAGCCAACCACCAGTAGTAAACAAGAAGAAGAAGAAGCGAAGCAGCGTAGCCGGGTGTAGCAGAAAAAAATCAGTTGTTGTGGAGAATTGTGTGGGTATGGCGAGTGGGAAAGAACAGGAGTTGGAAGACGCGCCAGCAGCACTTTATAGGTCTGCTGTATGGGAGCTTTTTGCATTTAGAGTGACCTACGATGACGGCGGAAAGAAAGTTGTGGATAAAAGTGCAACAGTGCAAGCATTGTGCAACACGTTTTGTTTATGCTAACAGCAACATGACCAACATGTCAGGCTAACCCCGAAATCCCACATACTCCGTCAGCAACCACCGCTCCGCCCCGCTGCGCTCCAGACCGGCTGCACAAAGCAAAGACTGCAGCCTCCACTGTGGCTCCCGTCCGCTCCCCTCTGAGTCCCTTGGAGATGGTAGAGAGCATGCGCCAGATGATTAAATTCAAAGCAGCAAAACATGTGGAAATGATCCAGGGTTTCCGCAGATCATGAAAAATAATTACAATTCATTAATTTTTTTGGATTTTTTCATTAATTTCATTAATTTTTATCGAATTTCGGTGTATCAATCAACATATACCGAACCGAAACCCGTGACCACAAAACCGTGAATCGAACCGTAGATTTTGTGAACCGTTCCACCCCTATTATGTATGTATGTATATATATATATATATATATATATATATATATATATATATATATATATATATATAGCGTCTATAACTGCTGTTCTGAGCTCCTGGCCCGCTTCTACAGCTGGTCAGGAAATCAATCCGTTAAAAGTTGCTATTCGCTGAATAAACAGTTTCAGAGTTCTGCTCTTTTTATTTTTCATCTACTTCCAGGGTCCAGAGCATTCATCAGCCCGTCCTGAAAGGTTCCTACAGATGTGTAATGACGACCCAGATGTTATTCCTGTAAGTGGTTTGGTCCCTGCTGAGATTTAAAATTATTCATCTTCATCATTTAAATGTTTAATTATACAATGATCCTGAACTGGAGTGTGCAGACTCTAAATAACGCCCTTTGCTGACAGAAGATCCTATCAGAGCAATGATTTAGCCAAAACTGTACAAATACATGCAAGAAAGTTTTGTCTGTGAATATGCTTTTATCCAAACTCTTTAAATTTTATGTTCTATGCCGCTACAATGCACATAAAACATGCAATAAATGTTTTTTGTCTTAAAATTCAGTTGTTAGGAACTTAGCCCAAACTCTTTGAAATGTCTGGACTTTATGTGGGAGGAGAAGAAAAAATAGAAATACTTTCATCACTTAATTTAGGAATAACCATAATGTCTGTTACATTATGTCCTTTATTGGCCTCATTTTCTTCATAGTCTTATTTTAAATGTATTCTGTTCTTCTACATTAAAACTTAGAATAAAGCTCTGTTTAATTAAGATTTTAAACAGGAAGTAAGTTTAATCTGTGGAAAGGAAAAAAAAAACATGAATATGTGAAAACAAGAATAATAAGCATGAAAAGACAACACACCTACTAAAGTGGACCAAGCACAACATTAAAGCTATTTGCATAAATACATAAATTCAGTTATTAAAATACCAGAAATGACTGGTATTTAAAAATAAGTTTTCTCAGTTAGTTTTGTGAAACTAAAAGATAATTCCAGGTAGTTGGTGGTTTAAAAAGGTTGCAGTTTGAGATCATGTTCCCTCTGCCTTTTAAAACATTCTTGTGAAGAACATAAAGGAAAATAAAGAAAAGGTTTTTTGTTGTTTTTTCCCCCTTAGAATCTGTCTGGGGATTTTGCGGTGCATCAACTTCATGACTGTAACTGGATTGTGGCCAACTGTTCCACTCCTGCAAACTACTTCCACGTCCTCCGCAGACAGATCCTTCTGCCCTTCAGGAAGCCTGTAAGCTCCTCTCACCTTGAACCATGATTCAGCATGAGAAGCCATCTTTAAAGCTCCATATTTCCCTGTTCTCTCTGTCTTTGGAACAGCTGATTGTGTTTACTCCAAAGTCACTGTTGCGCCACCCAGAGGCCAAATCGAGCTTTGATGACATGCTGCCTGGTGAGAAATGGCACAAAAAAGTCCAGGAAATAAAAAGAAGGCTAGGTTTAATTACCTTCACTAAGGAGGTGATGTTTTCGGTTCTATTGTTTCTCTGTTGGTTAGAGAAGTTGAGAAAAACATAAAATGAGGTTTGTTCTAACTTTGACCACATCTTCATGAAAATTAGCAAGAGTTGTTTTGGGTTGTTTTTTTTTTATTGGCAGAAATATTAATGATTAAGTAAACGAGCATTTTAACGTCTCTAAATTCAATCATCAAGGCTAATTTAATGTAAAAGAGCTTAAAGAAAGAGGGGAGTGTTTGCCTAGTGGTGATAGCAGTGCGCTTGTGCTCGGAGAAGGTAAGTACCTGGTTTGATGACCACACCCTGCACTCTGGGTCCCTGAGCAGGACCCTTAAACCCGGATTCCTCCCCAGGGCGCCGTATGATTGCAGCCCACTGCTCCCCCAGGGGATGGGTTAAATGTGAGATCAATAAAGTTAAATTATTTTATTTAATGAAATTTTATTTCAAATTTCAAAATAAAACAAATTAATGAATAAGTTTTTTTTTTATTATTGGCTGAATTAACCCACTGTGCAGTTTTGGTAAATTATTTAAAAACGACAGAATCTTTTCTAGTACAAAAGGGGGCCTCTTTTTAATGCATAGGGAAATCATATTTAAATGTCAAATCATTCTGGCTTAAACATGTATATAAATGTACTCTTTATCAGACAATATTGTCCCAAAATGTAGAACATTTTTATAAAAAAAAAAAAAATATCCTGTCTTAAAATCTGTTTTTTTCATTATCTTCTGCAGGCCAGTTAGTTATACATCAGCCTGAACACCTAAATTCGGCCAATCATATATCAACGGTCATCTGTCAATCAAATTTTTTCGGTCATAGCATCTTGATTCATGTCGCAGCTAATATACGCAACGGTTGAAATAAGAAATCAGAATAATTCCCTTTCCCATTGAGTTCTGTCCCAGTGTTCACGGGGATGGACGTCTGTGTCTTCAGCAGGCGTAGAGCTAACAGAACTGGCAGCGTTGCGAGGCAAGGGCTCAAACATGTACGGCTGGAAGCCTTCTACACCAAACCAAGCTTCTGCCGCCCTGGCGTCCTCTTCCACAACATCTTCATCCCCGATTTCCTCCTCTAAATAAAAAATGGATGACAGAGGAGACTCATCCGCAACCTCCAACGGAAAACTCTCCTCCTCTCACATGTTTCCGCTGTCCATAGCGTTCCTTGACAGTGTCATTTCTAAGTCACCAATTTAGTGCTACTTGGTCCCAATGGAATTTCCCATTGGAACCTGCTAGCACTAAGTTGCTAACTGGTTAGCAAGATGCTTCCGACAAACTGGCCACAACCAGACTTGCTTGTGAACCTTCCACCACAACAATCTCACCCCTTTGATAAACGACCAATCACATTCACTTTATTCACTCGTGTAAAGTCATGCATCACAACTGTTGGAGCAGCCGTTTCTCTACAACTTTAAAGATTATCTAAACTGTTAACTGTCACGCCCTGTATGCAGGACGTATGTGCTGATTCCAAATCTACAGCCTCATACTGCTACAATAACCCCACACTGAGCCTGGTTCTGCTGGAGGTTTCTTTCTGTTAAAAGGGAGTTTTTCCTCTCCACTGTCGCTACAAGCAGTGTTGGGCAAGCTACTTGTCCAGTGTAGTGAGCTAAGCTATCAGTTACTCAACAATAAATTAAGCTTCACTACACCAAAGCTACCACCTAAAGAATTATAGCAAGCTAAGTTACACTAATGTGTTAAAAGTAGCTTAACTACATCAGAAGCTACTTAACGTTGTACCAACCTAATATCAATTCAAAATGAGTCTGATACTCTGGTTAAAACATTTATTAAAGATCAGCCAATGACATAACACAGTGTAAACATTGCTTTATGATCAGCATAATTAAAAAAAAAGAAAGTATTTACTAGTAGACAAAAAAAAAAACAATCTGCTGTTATTAGAACCAAATTAAAGGTACTGTGTAGTGTTCTACACATGGAGACATGGCTATGAGTTTGCATTCAATGGACATCTCTAGGGAAAACAAAACCCTACAAAAGGCATCTTATTTCTTTAGGGTCACCCTTAGAGAAAACTTCTTCAGACCTCAATTAAACAGTCGATTCAAGTAACAAATGAAACTGTTTACAAAAGAAGGTGAAAAATAAAGAAGCTAATTAAGAGATATACATACATTTATGTCTCACCGTATAATTTAATTTCTACCTACATATTTATTCATTGTATTTTGGGGGGTAATTAATTGAATGTTTATTTATTTATTGATTTATTGATATTTATGTATTTATTTTTATATACGGTAGAGCTGTTCCTCCATACCTAAAAAATCTTATCTGTGTAAATAAGCCTTAAAACATCTGAACACCTACTTTTTATCGAGGATTCAACAAGTTTCAAAATCTCTGAAGATAAGGCGCTCTGCTCCTGTCTCCTCCTCCATCCTGTGTGTGTGGCTCTGTGGGTGTCATTCTTTGAGTTCCAGGGTGTGGGTGTCATTCTTTGAGGCCAGAGCTATTCATAGTGTAAGGCTCTGCTCTGCTAGGGGGCGCCAGAGCTCTGGAAACAGTAACTACAAACATTTAGCCACCTTCAGCTTGCCTATGGCTGTCTGTGGAGCAGGAGTTCCCCAACCTCTCCTTAAATGATATATTACATACTGTGAATTAAGTTGGAAGAAAAAGTTAAGTCGAGAAAAAAAGCTAATTGAAAACTTAACAAGTAAAATTAAAAAGTTATTAAGCCTAGTTAGCAATCATGTTTAAGTTTATAAACTAAAACCTGTCAGTGCCAGTATCAGCATTAATGCCTCTAAGGTTATGTTGGTGTTTCTCGTTATTACTTTGACATTAATTTTTGCTATCAAAACATCAAATCATAAATGTTTTTAAATTTTTCAAAGGTAATAAGGTCTTGTCCTGGATTCCAATAACACTGTTGGCTTGATATTTTGATTTTCAAAGTATTTCACTGAGCGCCCTATAAAGAGTTAACCTTGTGAGATGTGAAGGCATAATGAGGCAGAGGTCTTATCTTTGTTCTTTCTAGCTTTGTTCTGTTTTTTTTTTCTCTGTCCAGGTACCCACTTCCAGCGTCTCATCCCAGACGAGGGACCAGCAGCAGTCAGTCCACAGGAAGTAAAAAGGGTCATTTTCTGCACGGGCAAAATCTTCTATGAGCTCATCCGGGAACGCAAGACCAGAGGCATGGATGATGCTGTTGCTATTATCCGTATTGAACAGGTGATTGATTCCACCATGACTTAAACAAACTGACCACGTCTCCAGGCTCGGATTTATATCACACCATGAATATAAAACGGACTCTTAGACAAGCATCAGTTTCAGTTTGTGTTTTGTCCAACGTTGCAGCTGTCCCCGTTCCCCTTTGACTTGGTGAAAGCAGAGACTGATCGCTACCAGAATGCTGATCTGGTTTGGTGTCAGGAGGAGCATAAGAACCAGGGTTACTATGACTACGTCAAACCCCGCCTTCGTACTACACTGCGTCGTACCCGCCCCATCTGGTAGGTTTTGCAGACCTTTTTGTTTATAATGGCAAATTGATCAAACTGTACACAATCAGTGTCACATGCTGTTGGCAAATAGAATAGTGTAAATTATTGGCAATTAGCAAGACAAACTCTCCAGACCGCCGCTCAGTGCCGATGCTTTCTGGCTGTTTTTTGTCAAATCTGAATGTTGCTGGTGCTTTCATTGTTGTATTAGCATGTTACTCTACAACCCAAATGGCTAAGGTGTTGCAGCTCATCCAGGGTGGTACATTAATGCAAGCTGTGGCAAGAGGGTTTGCTGTGTTTGTCAGCGTAGTGTCCAGAGGGCGGAGGCGCTACCATGAGATAAGCCAGCACACCAGGAGACATGGAGGAGGGCGTAGGCGGGCAACAACCCGGCAGCAGGACTGCTACCTCTGCCTTTGTTCAAGGAAGAACAGAAGGAGCACTGCCAGAGCCCTGGACAGATGGTTAGAATCCAACTCCATGAGGATGGTATGAGGGCCTTCATCCACAGATGGGGGTTGTGCTCTCATCCCAACATCACGAAGGACGCTTGGCATTTGCCAAAGGACACCAAGATTGGCAAATTCACCACTGGCGCCCTGTGCTCTTCACAGATGAAAGCGGGATCCCATGTGAAGACAACATAGAGAGCGATCTGTTGCCTGCAATATCCTTCAGCTTGCCAGTTGGTCAGTAATGGTGTGGGTAGGCATTTCTTTGGGTGGCCACACAGCCCTCGATATGCTCCCAGAGGTAGCATGACTGCTATTAGGTACCGAGATGAGCTCCTCAGACCCTTTGTGAGACCATATGCTGGTGCGGTTGGCCCTGGGTTCCTCCTAATGCAGGACAATGCTAGACCTCATGCCAGCAGTTCCTGCAAGATGAGGCATTAAAGCTATGGACTGACCCACAAGTTCCCCGGAGGCGCACATCTGAGACATCATGCCTCAATCCATCCACTGATGTCACATTGCACCACAGACTGTCCAGGAGTTGGCAGATGCTTTAGTGCAGGTCTGGGAGGAGATCCCTCAGGAGACCATCCGCCACCTCATCAGTACCATTCCCAGGCATCGTATGGAGGCCATACAGGCACATGGAGGCCACACACAATACTGAGCCTCATTTTGGCCTTTTTAAAGGACATTACATCAAAGTTGAATCAGCCTGTAGTGTTTTTTTCCACTTTAAAATTGTGTGCGACTCCAAATACAGGCCTCCATTGGTTAATTAATTTAATACCCATTGATGCTTTTTGTGTGATTTTGTTGTCTGCCCCTTCAACTTTGTATAAAACTAAATATTCAATGAGAATATATTCATTGAGGTCTAGGATGGTTTACTGAGTGTCCCCTTTATTATTTTGAGCAGTGCATTTCACACTGCCCATGTTTTATTCTCTGCACATAATAGAGACATGAAACGCTCTTATGTGAATCTTTTTTAGTCTTTGCTGAAAATATTAAAATCTGACTATTTCTTGAAACCAATTTTATGATTGATTTTCCTTTGAGGAAACTAAATTGATGATATCAGATTATTTGTGATCCAAACTCAAACAGGTTGTTCATGAAAAAGTGGCTCAGTTTTATTCTGTTGCAGATCGCTGCTAATTTAAATCCTGGTAATGGCTTCCTAGCTTTCTGAATCAGAAAAGTCAGGGAATGCAGGAATTTACTCCAATCTGGATTAACTCTAACCCTGCATATTGAAATTGTGAAATAGAATAGAAAATTCCTTTACTGTCCTACATAAATGTGGTCCTTAGAAAAATTAATGAGTAACATAATAGTGAAGAGTATAAAACACTGAACTGTAAAGTGTTTTAACAATATAAAAAACTGTCCAACTGGATAATAAATAACCAATATGCTGCTATGGACATTTTTACAATAATAGATATTTGAAAATAGCAGCAACATCAGAGATGTGCAAAATGACAGCAGCATGTTATTTAACTGACTAAAATAGAAACTGTAAAAATCAGCATGAATGTAACAATTTATTGCACTATTTTTAAAAATGTTAGTCATTAAATTTAATTCTCCATTTTCTTTCTATGCATTTTCTCGTTTTTTTTAGTTCTGTTTTTATGGAGAAAGACATTTTAAGATCATGTTTTGGTGGAATGTTTTTATTTTCTTCCCAATTCAATGAACATATTTGAAATGTTTTTAAAGACATTGTAGGTTTACCCCCAGTCTGATCCATAATAGCCTGGGATCCTATAACCTGTTTGACCTCAGAAAGACGCCAATGATGATTTCAGTAACTTCAGGATAAGGTTTGACCTTTTGTCCCTGTGTTTATTCTAAGGTACGCCGGCCGTGACCCGGCAGCAGCTCCGGCTACAGGGAACAAGCACACCCACCTCACAGAGCTTCAGCGTTTACTGGACACGGCCTTCGATCTGGAGAAGTTCCCAGGGAAACCGCAGCGTCCCGTCTAACACAGATCTGACCTACCTGCTCGACGTCAGGGTCCATAAAACCGGCATCTCTACCGTTTTAAACGGCAAACACGAAACTGTTGACTCTGTTTCCATAAAGGCTCCTTGTTTAAAGTGAAGGACAAGACAAACAATGCCTTTAACTTGCACTGAATGTGATCATTGTTCAAGACAAGTTGTAATTTGTTTTTATAGCTGATCAAAAATATATTCTTGATTGTTGAGTAAAATAGTTGCTGGTGGAGAAATAAGTTGAATATTTTTTTAATAACAAACAAAAACAATGTGGGTAAACATTCAGGCCTCACAAACTAAGTTGGTTTTAACTCATCAACCAGAAAGAATCACAATTCTAATCTAATCTACAGGAATTATAATAAAAACTGGAGAAACTAACAGTTGGCATTTTAGAATCCTTACAGGTGCTTCTTGGACTGAGATAAGTTATTTAAACTAATTTATTTTGAGAATTAGAAAACTGATGATGAACTGGTGTTTGGTATCGAGGTTCCCTCTAAAAGCAGGAGTCTGAACAGTATCAGAACTAAAAATGTTGCTATGCTGACAGTAGCTCCCATTTTCCTTTGCCTACAATGACAAAGTCGGCTGTTTGGAAAATCCTGTCCATCAATCTGAGTAGGGCTGAACGATTTTGGAAAATAATCTAATTGCAATTTTTTTCTTTATATTGCGATTTAATGCAAATTTTTCCCCCAGTTTAAATGATCATGTCTTTTTTTAAACATATACAAACAACAAATCAATCTGTTTCATCGCTGTGCAGATTAGGTGCTAAAAGACACGCTGTGTCCTAATTAATGATCGCGTTCTGCCTCCAATATATTTCAACCAAAATTGCAATTTAATTTAGACTTTTCTCTACATAACCACAAGCAACAAAAATGGCCTCTAAATAAAGACAATTGTAAACAAGGACTATTTAAATCAAGAACTTTTAATGTTTTTATTAATCAGAATATTATTCAAGAAAACAGCTTTTAACTGATTTGGACATCAGTCCTTGTTGAACATGAAGTCCAAAGTGCAACCAACAAACCAGTCTATGTATTAAACTGATTAACTGGTACTTAGTGCTGTGTATGAATATATAAACTCTAAAACAAGTAATAAAATTAGATTATCTCACTGCTGCAACTGTCTTCCCTTCCATGTGGAGGCAAATCCACTTTAAATATTTTACTGACACCTAAAGAACGCGTCTGATTCACTAATTGTTACATAGCCAAAAATTGCAGACGTCCGCGATTTGGAAATTGCATATTTTTCAATCGCGATTATATTGAAAATGCAATTAATTGTTCAGCCCTAAATCTGAGGTAATGTTGCTTTAAAGTTCAGCTTGAAAAGCTCCATGTCTGTAGAGCAGCAGCTACACACTCTCAGCCTACAGCCCCACTGGTTAGAAACATAACATCTGCTCACTAGAATCCAGGTTTTTACTTTTATATAGTTAATTTTGTTCCTTTTTGTTGCTATTTGTTTTTTTGCAAGCAAAGAACATGTTTTTTCTTTAAATAGAAAGAATGAAATGCAATCAGAAAATGAATCTTAAAAAAAAAATCAATAAAATGTTTGCAGAGAATGTATTCCATTCTAAAAATGTTCCTTTTTTTTATCATATTAAAGATATAAAATATATTAAATGTATTTCTCTTTTTCCAATGGAGTTATACAGATTGCTTACTCTTCAGTTGTGGAGGCAGGCTTTCTTTGAATGAGGAGTGAAGACACATTTCTATTGGTCTGCATGGGCGTTAGAAACATGTTTATTGTGTTAGCGGTGGCTCCAGCACCACCGAGGCAACGGCGCCTGTGTCCAGCTCTTATAGCAAAGTTCTGTGTCGGTGCATCATTTCAAGATCGTCCGATACGGGAGCTGTGTCAAACTGTGCTTATAACCACATCTGCTTTGCTGTTCGTCATCAAATTAATCAAGAAATCTGGAGCAGCCTCCCAGCAAAAAGGTTTCACCTGTTTGGTACCATTTTGATCTCATATTTGCTTAAATTTACTCATTGTGTCTAATATCTACATACATTGATTATTGATACGTTTTTATCAGAATTATGTATCTCTGATTTCACTGAGGAGTCCTAGATGACTTACAGAGACACATTTTCTCTTTACCCCAAATAAAACAAAATCTAGTTCTGAAAATAGCATCAATTCTGTATTTTACATCTTTGATGATAGTATATTGATGTGCATAATTAGCCACAAAAATTTTAAATGTTTTTAATATTCAACTTGATAGTATTACTGCTGCCACCATCTGTATTAGAGGGGGAAAAAATTGCAGGGGTGGCCAATGACTGGCTAAGGGTGGCTATGACCACCCCTGGCCCCCCATCTAGCTACGTCCCTGCGTTTGAGACAATCGAATAACTTGGAAAAATTACTCTCAAAAGTTTTTTAAAGTTTATCCCCAGTGGGCTAACTAAGTTTGGAGAGTTTAATCTCTGGATTGCTTTTTCCCTTCATGTTTTCATTTCCAAAATGTATTTTTTTTTTTTTTTCCATTTATAAAACATGTTCTTTGTTTGAATCAATGGAATAAAATCTAACTATTTCCTCTGCTCTGTAAACAGAACAGAGAAGAAATGAGAAACCTGTTTACACAAAAACTAAAAAAGACTAAATATGGAGCTGAAAGGTCCTAAATGTTTTTTTCAAAAATGGTTGTTTTTTTATGCTTGAGACTTAAGGTTCAGATTTGTCTCATTAATGAATAAAGTAAAACTTTATTTTTTTGCTGAAGGAAATTGATTTGGGGATCATGTTATCTTGCTCTATTAAAAAAAAAAACAACAACTATGCATTATAGGTGATGTTAAAACATTTTATTTATACTTTTAGCACAGAAAGAAACTTATAAATTGAGCAAATAATTTAGGATATTTTCAATTTAAATGACTTTGTTAGTATCATCAAACCACGGTCTATATCATACCATCAGTATCTAAGACTGGCCCATGTGTATAGCTGACTATGAAGTAAAGTACTAACTATGAGTTGAGTCTAGTAATCTAAGAATGAAGTCTAAGACAAAACACTAAACATCAATAATAATTCGACACACTGAAAGATCATTGAAAACACATTTAATTAGAAGTTCAACATTTTAAGCAGCATCTGAGTTACAGTCGGTTTAGGAGCAACAGTTTTCACAAGCTTCTGTATTTCTTTGTTTAGTCTAAATTCTCCTGTCATATTAAAACATTACTCTTTAAAGTCCACTTCTGTCGAATAAAAATTATTCCTTTAAATTTGAGCTAATTTCCCTCAAAGCATCAAAGAATCAGTAAAAACCATTTTTCATCGGGTGCTGCCTGTTTGGAACAGAATAAAACATTTTCTTCAGTAATCTTCATGTTTTAGTTGAGCCATTAAAATCAAAGCACTCAAATCAAAGCTGTGGTTTAACTCAAAACTTTATGCAAGTCTAGTCTGTAACTTTTCTTACAGTTCATCAAATAACGTCTGGATGAGAGGAAATCATGTTGCAGTAAATTCATTGCTGTACAGATGGAACCGAGAAAGAATCCAGATCATTTATCAGGAGGAATCAACATTTGGTGGTTTTTGGAGATGAGATGCTTCAACATTAATCCACAATCCGAACTCTGCACCTATTGCACATTATCGGGCATCAAATGCTGCTGAACTTTTAACTTTTAGCCCTTTAAATTGTTCATCTCATTGTATTTTTCAATAACGCATTTTTTGCACAAATGCCATTTTGCACTGAACCACTGCAACTTGCACACTGTCTCTTATCCTCTGCACTGTTCACACTTTGACCACTGCTGCACTTTTTGTATTTTTCTATAACTCGTGCCATTTGAAATATCAATGCAACGTTCATAAGCTGTATGTAACGCAATTTCGTTCTGTATGCACCCTGTGCATACAAAATGACAAATAAAGAAGTCTAAGTCTAAGTCTAAGTCTAAGTCTAATTAAGGTTCATCAAGCAGCATCTAAGAAACCAGATTCCTGTTGTTTGATCGTCCAAAAAGCTAATCATCATCATTATTGATTCTCATTTTATTTGTTTTATCTCGTTCCTTCAGTTTCAAGCAAACAGAAGAGAATTCCTAAAGTGAACTATTCAGTTTTATTTTTCCCAGGTAGTCAAACAGTCTTTCATGTGAAGTTCCTTGTTTACGTTGAAGACTACAGTAATGTTCCAGATGTTTATACAGCTGGCCTGAAAAGAAAAAGAGAAATGATCATAGTTTATAGAAAGAATTAAGGGGAGTCTCAGCAATAAATTCTTAATTTTATAATCAATTTTATGATTTAAAATTTGTAGAACTTAAACTCTAAAGTAGAGACAGTTCACAAAATGTGGATTATATCAATTTCCATTTAAGATTTACATAAAATAAAACAATGTATGGACGATATTTCTGACCAATCTCCAACTTTCCAGTTGGAACATCTAAAAAATAAGTTTTTGTAAATTCAGTTATGTTCATAACAAGCACTAAGATCAAGGCTCTAACATCAATGGGCACTTCCCCAGATCACCATGAAATGTTAAAGTGGCAAAACATCATCCAAAGATCTGAGTATTTCTAACCAACTCTTCCCCTAATGCTCCTGTTCACAACTTGGGGAAAAAATAATTTCTGTCATGAATTGTCTCACCAACTGTCGCCTTCTGTGATACCAGGGAGTGGTAAATCTGTTGCAACCTCTTTGTCAGATAATCATCTTTGAATGTGAAGAAGACCAAACCTCTTCTGGCCTTTGCTGCGGCCATCAGCTGGATCACAGCTGCAAATGAACAGACAGCGTCACTGTGACGGATGCAACATTTCCTGCCTGAACTGATTCAGGTCCACTGTCCTAGAAATTTAACAAAAATAACCTGCATGAGACACAACTTTAAAGGTGGAGGTCTAATGTGGCAAAATGTGAAAAGGTCAAAGTATTTGTTGGGTTTAATAGTGTGAAAAGGCCATAAGTGAAATGGAACAAAAAAGATCAATATAAACCACTTTTTAGTTAATTTTACCTGCTATGTTGATATTTTTGCAGAACCATGTTTTGCTGAATCACTGGTCCAGGTCTTTTTAGGTTTTTATGGGATTCTTTATAAATAAGATAATTTGCACTCCTCCCCCCGCGATTGGTTTGTCTCTTGGGGGGGATGGTTAAACTCCCAGTTGAACTTTCAGAGTTAGCAAAACTATTGTCTTCATCTAAGCCTTCAACTTGTATGTTAGATCTTTGATCTCCTCCTCCATTTTGGATGTGATTATTCTACGATCACCGGCCACTTTATTAGGTACCCCATGCTAGTAACGGGTTGGACCCCCTTTTGCCTTCAGAACTGCCTCAATTCATCGTGGCATAGATTCAACAAGGTGCTGGAGGCATTCCTCAGGGAGTTTGGTCCGTATTGACATGATGGCATCACACAGTTGCCGCAGATTTGTCGGCTGCACATCCATGATGCGAATCTCCCGTTCCACCACATCCCAAAGATGCTCTATTGGATTGAGATCTGGTGACTCAGGTAGGCTGTGGCGTTGCAACGATGCTCAATTGGTACCAAGGGGCCCAAAGAGTGCCAAAAAAAATATTCCCCACACCATGACACCACCACCACCAGCCTGAACCGTTGATACAAGGCAGGATGGATCCATGCTTTCATGTTGTAGACGCCAAATTCTGACCCTACCATCCAAATGTCGCAGCAGAAATCGAGACTCATCAGACCAGGCAACGTTTTTCCAATCTTCTATTGTCCAATTTCCATGAGCTTGTGCAAATTGTAGCCTCAGTTTCCTGTTCTTAGCTGAAAGGAGTGGCACCCGGTGTGGTCTTCTGCTGCTGTAGCCCATCTGCCTCAAAGTTCCACGTACTGTGCGTTCAGAGATGCTCTTCTGCCCACCTTGGTTGTAACGGGTGGTTATTTGAGTCACTGTTGCCCTTCTATCAGCTCCAACCAGTCTGGCCATTCTCCTCTGACCTCTCGCATCAACAAGGCATTTCCGCCCACAGAACTGCCGCTCACTGGATGTTTTTTCTTTTTCGGACCATTCTCTGTAAACCCTAGAGATGGTTGTGAGTGAAAATCCCAGTAGATCAGCAGTTTCTGAAATACTCAGACCAGCCCTTCTGGCACCAACAATCATGCCACGTTCAAAGTCACTCAAATCACCTTTCTTCCCCATACTGATGCTCGGTGTGAACTGCAGGAGATTGTCTTGACCATGTCTACATGCCTAAATGCACTGAGTTGCCACCATGTGATTGGCTGCTTAGAAATTAAGTGTTAACGAGCGGTTGGACAGCTGTACCTAATAAAGTGGCCGGTGAGTGTATCTCTGTTACAGGGAAATATACCAAATGTCATGATCTCGGCTCTGATGGTTCGTTTTTTTCGTTTGCTCCTTGCTCCCTGTCTAATTGGTTCTCCGGCTGATTATCGCCGATCATTTCCACCTGGTTCCTCTACTATTTAAGTTGTGTGTTGGCCTCCCATCAGCGCCAGGTTATTCGTGTGTTTTGGTGAGACGTTTCCTAGCTTTCTTTAGTCTGTCTGCTTCCCTGATTATGACTAGTTTTTCTGCCCTGTGGATCTCGAGTTTTGCCTTGCCCCTGTCTGCTCTGTTTGTCGCATCTGGTCCTGGATTCTACCGGCTTCTGAACCTGGAACTGTCTCCTGACTTCGGCCTTGGATTTCCCTTCTGGACTCTGTTGCTGCTCGGCATCGCTCTCTAGGAACTCTGGGGACGCAACTGCGATCAAACCTCCGCTAACGGACTGAACTTTGAATCAGGTCAGGGACTTTGCTCCAAGTCGTATTCAGCTCCACATCCAGTCACTGACCTGTATTTTCCTATCCCTACAGAGATCCGCCCCGCAGCAGACGAGCAGCCCCGCGCACCTGTTTGTTAAATAAATGCTTTGAACTTTCCCACTGCCTGTCTCGCCTTGAATTCTGGGTCCTACTTCCTGAGATCATTACACCAAAGGCTTTTAAGGTTGCTATAATTAAACTTCTGCTTATGAAACCGTCTCTTGACCCAGATGACTTGGTCAATTATAGACCTATATCCAATCTTCCTTTCTTATCTAAAATTCTTGTGAAAGTAGTAGCAATCACTTACACCAGAATGAACTTTTTGAAGAGTTTCAGTCTGCATTTGATACAGTTGACCATAATATTCTTTTAGAAAGACTTGAATATTTTGTTGGAATTAAAGGAACAGCACTAGACTAGTTTAAATCTTATCTATCTGATCGAATTCAGTTTGTTCATGTTAATGATAGATCTTCCACATGCTCAAATGTTACCTGTGGAGTACCACAGGGATCAGTGCTAGGACCAATTCTCTTTACTTTATACATGCTCCCAATCAGTAGAATTATTAGACAGCATGGGATTAATTTCCACTGTTATGCTGATGATACCCAGCTATATCTGTCTATAAATCCAGATGAAGCTAACCCATTACATAGATTACAGGCATGTCTTGAAGACATAAAAACCTGGATGACTCTTAACTTTCTGCTTCTGAATGCAGACAAAACAGAAGTTATAGTCTTTGGACCAGAGTCTCTGAAAAAGAAGCTGATTAGTCAGTCACTTCATTTGGATGGGATTAAACTGATTTTAGATAAAGTAAAAAATCTTGGTGTTATTTTTGATCAGGACCTGTCATTTAAATCCCATATCAAAGAGGTTTCTAGAATTTCCTTCTTTCATCTGAGGAATATTGAAAAAATTAGAAATCTCCTGTCCAGGGGTGATGCTGAGAAACTAGTCCATGCATTTGTTACTTCAAGGCTGGACTATTGTAATTCTTTACTATCAGGAAGTCCACAAACTGTAGTTAAAAGCCTTCAGCTGATCCAAAATGCTGCAGCCAGAGTTCTAATGAAAATTAAAAAGAGAGATCATATCTCGCCTATCCTGGCTTCTCTTTATTGGCTTTCAGAGACATAGACAGGTATGGGGTATTGCAGGCTAAAAAAGAAGCCAAACGACCCCCATTCCAAAGAGACAGCCCGGTTCGTCCATTTCAATTTGTTTTCTAAGCCAAAGCAAGGCTTTGTTGGGCTACTGTATAAAACCTCGAACTCAACACTATTTCTGACATTTTGATTTAAAAGAGCTTCCTGGATGGGAAGCGAAATGTCTTCAAACTTCAAACGACTTTAAACTTCCTGTTAAAACTGAGTTTTTCCTCTCCACTGTTGCTACAAGCATGCTTAGTAAGAGAGATTGCATTCGAGTCAATGAGTCGATGCAATCAACTGGTTTTCCTTAGAAAACTTTGAATCAATCTCACTGGATGATCTGGTTGAACTGTAAAGTGCCTTGAGATGATGTGTGTTATGAATTGTTGCTATAGAAATAAACTGAATTTAATTGAATTCAAACTTGGAAAACAATGTCCAGTGGAGTGTTTTTTTTTTACTTTTTTGGAATGACGATGATCTCGATGACTGAGAACTTTCACCAGCATATATCAATTTAATTATTCAATAAGGCCTTAACAAACACCAAGTATTTAACAGAGAAAAACTTATCGAAAATGTTTAACTGGTTTAAAGGTCAAAAACTACAGATCAAATAATAGAACAAATGTTACCTTTGAGTTCTGCGTCTCCATTGAAGGCTCCACAGCCCCACTTCCCTGTAGCTATGTCTGGCTCTTCACAGCCAGGCTGGCCTTTAAAGCCACAGTAAGCCTTTATAAATACACGCAAAAAAAATTGAAATAAGCAATTTTTTTTGCTCAAGTTTCAGTTTAACAAGACATTTTTAAATGTTTCAACAGGACAAGAGCTTGAGACAATTTTGACCTTGTTCAGTTCCCGTCTAACTTTTTCCATACTGTACTGCTCCTTTGGATGTCTGAAATGAAGCGCATCTATAGCCAGAATCTGACGCTTTAGCCGCTTCCAATCATCTCTGCAAAAAGAGTTGGAGGAAATCAATAAATTAGAACACTTTAAAATCTTTGTTTTTAATGTTTTATAGAGACGTGTCCTAATCACACCTTTCAAGTTTATCGTCGAAAGGTCCCACCCACTGAAATCTGTCACTTAAACCATCACAGCAACTGAACCTCTGCGTACCTGAGGATAAGACAAAATAAAACACAGTATGGCATATCAAATCGAATCCAGCTAAGGACCATAAAAACATCTAAACATTAAAAAAAGATTTAATTATTAATTACTTTCTCTAATGGCTTAAGTTTGTCTGGAGCAAAACGCCAATGTTTGCCTTTAACTATCCTCCATTGTTCACTATCGTTGAACAATGGAGGGATTTTCTATTCTATTCTATCCTCTTTATTTACTTCAGAGAAAAATCTAAAGCCGGCTATAGCTAACTGTCAAAGATAGGTTTGCCAAGCTAACCTGCTAAACAGAGCCTGTTTCGGACCGTCCGCCCTAATCATTATAAGGCACTATATAAGGTGGTTAAGCCATTTTAGATGAGTGTCCCAACGTCTAGTTCATTGTTTCCAAACCTTTTTTGACTTGTGTTCCCTTTGGGCATTTTGTCTTACCATGAAAACCCCTCTCGGTCAAAAGTATAGATCATTGTTGAAAATTGAAACATACAATACCTGGATAAAATAAAGACTATTTTACCTAATCTTTAACATGAGCATTTAATTCTTAGGCAATTCTTTCCACCTGAAATAAAGAAGCGACATAAATATTGTCGTGGGGAAAAAAGTATTCAACCATTCATCCTAGTAAAATAAATAATAATAATAAATATTCAATTGGATTTCACTCAGTCGGCACATTTATTCATATCTTTGCAAAGAGAGAACAGTTCCTCATACGGCCCTAATGGCACAGCTTTCTGCCCTGTTCTGCTAGAGCAGCGTTCGTCCCCCCTTACTTATAACAATGGAAAGTAGTCAGAGTCGAAACAAATTACAAACACTTTGGTTAAACAATAACATGTTATGAATAAACCTTGAGAAAGAATCTGGTTTGTTATGGGAAGAAGCTACAGTATGTCTGGCCTACAAACAACATCCTGCAGAGAAATGTGTGACATTGAGAGAGAAACAGACTGAGTGGAAACTTTTATAGTGAGTAAATAGGATAAATTAATATATAATAGAAGAGAAATAAATATTTTCCGAAATATGAAGTGGCTTCAATAAACGTTTCATATTTCATTAAACCTGTAATGATGAGACACTCTTTGTCATCAAGTTTCTCTGTAAAGAGGCGAGAAACGATCAGCTCTGGATGCATGAGGAACAGGATCTCTTCCTGAACCAAACCAGTGTCCAGGACACCCCCGCCTATCCACTTGGCAGCAAAGTCCACCTGCAAACACACAGATACAGTCAGGCCTGTGTGGACGGACAGCTGTGGGTCACCTGACACCGTGGGCCTTTTACCTGAAGCAGCCCTGTACCTTCATCCTCGATCGTGCCCTCTGAGGTTACGTGCAGTTTTCCCAGTGTTTCTCTGCACCTACAAGAAATAAAACAGATGGAACATTGGTTCCCAAACCTTTCTTGGGTTTACATTCAATTTAATCCAGTTTATTTCTATAGCGCCAATTCACAACACACGTCGTCTCAAGCCACCTAAAGACATCGAGTTTAAACCTATGATATGTACTACCGTATTTTCACGACCATAAGGCGCACCGTACTAAAAGGCGCAGTCTCAGTTATGTGTCCCATTTCTGTATTTAACACACACATAAGGCGCACCGGACTATAGGACGCGTTTTTTATATACAGGTACATGTCCTCTACTACCTTTAAATACCTCTACTGCGTATTTAAAAATACAGCGGGGGCAAAACTGAGTCTGACTGTGCTTTATTCATGTATTTATTACAAACTATTAATCAAACCTGGGTGCTGGCCGTGAGACAGACACATCGCAGTGATCACTCCTAAATTAACTTAAAATCCTGAAACCTGCCGACGGAATTTGTTCGCTTTTATTACCGGTATCCTGGTGCCTGCAGCTAAAATTATTTAGAGGAAAAACACCTGCCAGCAGCCGCGGTGAACCTGGAGGCTGCCCGGCCTAGAGGCTGCTGTTGAAGGGATTTCTACTGTCGGTGCACCGCTGGTATGTGGGGGTCTGAGCGCCTCCGACAGAAATAGATAATCTGGATGAACTGACTGCAATTATGAAGTTTTCAGGTGGACTTTCTCACTTAAAAACATATTAAAACTACTTTATTCCCACTGATCACAGCAAATATAGCTGCAAGATTTAGATTATTTAGATGAAAAAACACCTGCCAGCCGCCGCGGTGAAGAGGAGTAGACCCGCCCAGAGGCTGCTGTTGAATTAAGTTTTCAGGTAGAAAAATAGAGCGGGAGCAAAACTGAGTATGATTGTGCTTTATTCATGTATTTATTACAGAGTAGTAATCAAACCCATCAAAGTCCTCATCCTCTGTTTCTGAATTAAACAGCTGCGCTAAATCAGACATGCCAATTTCCCCTTCTTCGCTGTCAGTCACTTTCCGTGCAGCGCGGCTCCTCAGAAATAATGCCGGCTTTTGCGAAAGCTTGAACAACAGAGCCAGCAGACACGTTAGTCCATCTACAATCCATCCGCAAACGGTGGCGTAACTTGCCCGGCGCTGCCTTCCACTTATCGTGAAACTGTGGTCTCCGTCTGTCATCCATCGCTCCCACGCCGCTCGCAGCCTTACTTTGAACGGCCGCTTCACACCGATGTCGAGCGGTTGAAGTTCCTTTGTCAGATCTCCCGGGATAACGGCGAGCACAGCGTTCATTTGATTCACCATGTTTTTCTCATCAGCTGTGAGATGGGCACGCATGGAGTCACAGATTAACTGCGATGGTGATGCGTGGAAAAAAAACACCTGTTCTTCTCACATAGGCTACACCTCCCTCAGCCACGCTTTCATCATCTCCTCATCCATCCAGCCTTTTTCATTTGCCTTAATATCATATGTCATCAGAGCGATGTGTCTGTCTCGCTGTCAGCTCCCAGATCAGCTTCTCTGATTGGTTGATGCGGCGCGTCCAGCAGCAAAACTTCTATTTTTCCATCTCGAGCAGCAGCAGCGCGTTGGCGGTGCGTCAGATGCTTAAAGGCTGCGGGACCTTTTGCTGCACCTATATGCGCGTCAACCATTGACTTTGCATGTAAACTCGCTGCTTCTGCTGCACCTGCTGGGTCCGGTTCACACCGATGTCGAACGGTTGAACAGCGAGCACAGGGTTAATTTGTTTCCCCATGTTTTTCACATCAGCTGTGAGATGGGCACGCATGGAGTTACAGCGATGGTGATGAGTGGAAAAAAAAACCCCTGGTCTCCTTACATTCAGCCACTCTTTCAACATCTCCTCAATGAGGTGGTCTCAAAAGTCGCAGTTACAACACACATAGGGCGCACCGCACCATAGGGCGCACTGCACATTTTGAGGGGAAAAAAAGACGTTTAAGTGCGCCTTATAGTCGTGAAAATACGGTAGTCTTAAATTAGAAATCAGTCTTGTTTTGCAAAAAAACACCCAAAAGTGCACCTCTGTTCTCCTCCTATATTAACTTCAATCCTGGAAGGATCCTAACATTAGCCTGCCATAATATCACCCCTCACATCTTATATTCCTACATTCCACCAAAAGCGGCGATTAAAAATCTAATTCTTGTGCAAAGTCTTGTAAGAAGAAAAAAAGCTCTTTAAAAGGGTTCTGAATGAGCTTTATTTAATTTATCCTAAAATTGATCAGAGACTATTTCAAAAGGTTTGAAGGATGAAAATACCAGCTTATGACTCCACTCATTTATTGGTAATGAAAAACATCCTTTAAAATGTAAAATGTTTTGATATTTAAAATGTTAAAGATAACAAAAATACTTCTATTCTCCAGTGTTTGCTCCTGTTTCTCTCCTAGATATACATACATATACAGGCTCAGCTCTTACTGTGACTAACTGTATGTGCCTTCTTTCATCTGTTTTTAAATGAAAACCAGTCCATCTGCTTAACTGTTTAAATAGAATAAAGTCCATCAAGGGTCAAACATTTAAATGATGAAAAGCATTGCAGTGAAGCTGCTTTCTAGAATGTTAGAGATTTACAAGCATTAACGAGGCTTAAGAAACTGTATGTCGGCTTTTTATCAGCTTCTGGCTCTATCTACTGTATAAAGTGCTGCTAAATAAAGTGAATTGTCTCACTGACTCAATGTTTGCATTCCAGCAGTTTCTATCATAGAAATGTTAAATATTTCCAATATAAGGCATTACCCTCTCCAGTCTGGTACATCTGCCTCTCTGAGGCAACGCCTCTCAAACGTCACCAGTCCATCATGTCTGAATTCTACAGAAAAAACAGATAATTATAGACTTCCTGCGTACATCTCACCAATGAACCGGATTGGGTTCAGGGTTTGGTACTTACTCTCATCTGTCACTATGTTAAAATACTGCATGATGGCCATGAGCTTCTGGTTCTTCCGCTCTGACCATTCTCCAAACAATCTGAGTGCAAAATCAAAATGAATAATCAGGATGTTAAACAAGTTGGGGGAGAACCAGAGAAGCTGTGACTGCTGACCTGCTGAAGTTTATTGACGGGTAGTTGTGGTATTCTGAGTCGGGTTTTGTGGTGTTGCGGTGAGGGAAGGTGCAGTAGAAAGCGTTAGCGAGCAGACATGCAATCTGGAACTGGGACAAAGTGATGGTTGCAGGTTGATGACGCTGAAGCAGCGGGATGGTCTGAACCCACAGAAACAAATCATTACAGTTATTGGTTATACAGTGACATCAGACATGTAGGCTGCTTCCTCAACCAGCATGAGGGATATCCTGCTAACTGTAGCAGCACCATCAGTCAGCTAGTCAGCAATTAGCCAGGAATTATTTTAGCACAAAAAAAAAAAATCAAGAGGAGGGAGACATGAAGCTAAGACATCTCCATGCCATGTTTGTTCTGCAGCTACTGAACCCAGTGAGTCCAATCTGCACAATTTAACTCACTGTGCAGTTTGGATTCACCTGGTTCAGTAGCTGCAGAACAAATGCATGGGATGAATATGACTGGTTACACCTTATCTTAAAGGTACACTATGCAACCGGGGTTGATTTTCCAGCGAGGCTCCCCCCAGAGGGCGAAAGTAAAAGTGCACTGTCGTAAATATGCTCAGCTGTTCTCCTGGTTTCTCCGTCAAGCCAGGCGCGGTTGTTTTGAGCTTAGCAGACAGGCGAACGCAACGAATGACTAACACAGTGAAAGTATGAACATGCACACAGAGAGAGAGAAACCATTCCAATGTTACTTACAATCGCATCAGCAGAAACACGAGGTCCACGTCAGCCTTGCAGCCTTCTTTTTATTTTAGCTCTCGCCATTCGGATAAAGCTTGCCCGATGTTCACCCTTGTACGACTCCTCTCTCTGTCCGGAGCCCTTTTCCTCTTTCTTGCCTGCTCCGACATGGGCTTTCACTGTTTTCACGCTGGTTCCGCCATGACAACTGCACAAAGATCGCCACAGTGCTAGCAACGAGCATGCTTTTAACTGGGGGCGTGTAGCAGTTCTCGCCGTAAAGCAAGACTGACTCTCGCAAGAGTTCTGAGCCTGTGGGTGCGGGCCGAGGGCTCCTGCAATTGCAAGTGCGGTATTTCCCCCACAGACCACCAGGGCGGCCGAGAAAACCTTTGTTCGACCTAAAATGACTCATTTAATCATCCAAAACATTATGGAACACATTAATTAACTGAAAAATGTTGCATAGTATGCCTTTAAGATGTTTTTAGGTCACAGAAAAATATGTCAATGAAGCGATGATCTGGCAGAACATTTTCACATTGATTATTGTAGAAACAAAAAATAGAAAAAATTCCCTTAGAATTGCTTTTTATATAAAGCTAATTTAGTGGGGCCTCTAAAAGTGTATAGTCCAATACCCCATTTACACTACCATTGAAAAACTGATCCATGCCGAGACCGATCCGAGCTCGGTTCTGACGACCGTTTACACATCACGCTATCTCGGTTCCTCGCCTCCTAGTGACGATCTGCAGTATTACTGCCAGTATTGAAGGAGGAAATCAAGCAGTTGGTGGCGGTAATGCACCAAAAGTTGTTTGCCAACCGCTATAAAACACAAGAAGTAGAAGACGACGAAGAAGGAGGGAATCAAGCAAATCAAAGTGGCGGCGCCCGTCACATTCAGATAGTTATGCTTGATTATTATTGATATACTTCGGTGTTTGCGGAAGGTCACGCGAAGACGGCAACCATTATTTAAAATGTTGCGTGGAGAAGATTTCGATTGTTGTTTATAGTTGTTCTTCTTCTGTTTTGTGTTGGTTGGCAAGCAACTTTGGGAGGGGTATTACCGCCAACTACTGGAATGCAGTGTGATTTGGGATGTGCAGCCAGAGATGACACATTCTGCTCATGCGCTCTTGTTATCAGAGAACAGAGCCAGGGGAAAAACCGAGCCGAACCCACCTCTGGAACTGGTCTGCAGTTAGCGCGGTCCGGTTGTGTCTAGCTCAGTTCAGTTCAGTTTGCTTTCCATTTACACATGATAAGTTATCTCAGTTACTGAGCTTGGACCGGTCTCGGCACGGTTTTTCAAGGGTAATGTAAATGGGGTACAAGTCTATGTGCACAGGCGTGCCTTAGACTGCCCACAATAAAAGGCCACTCTGAATAGTGCTAATAGTAATCACCTGCTTGAGGTATAATAATACTTGGTCAGTTTGTCAGTCTGAGGCTTTCCACTCGAAAATTTAATGTGCGGTGGGTGGGTTTACATTAACACCAGAATTACCCATAATGCAACAGAGGTTTTCTGTAATCGCAACAGTCAAGGTGGCAGCAACATTGTAGTGATCGCTTCCATTGGTACCTTTTCAAGCTGTTCAGGCAACTTCAAGGCCAGAGCAGCAATCTTCGAAGATAGTGTTGAAAAGTGATTTTCTAAATGTGAGGACTAGAAAGAACATAAAAGCATTTCTAATCAATGATGGGGTTATAAAATTGTAAAACACGTGATGCTAAATTAAGAGTTGATGACAAACCTTCACAAATCTGGACAGTGCATCAAATTTCCACTCTGGTTTATACTTGGGGTTGTATTTGAAGATAGCTTCCTGATGGAAAAAGATTTATTAGATGCATAGGTTGAGTTAAACGACTCAGGTTTTCAATGCAAGACAGCAAACACTGCAATGATTCAGACCTACCTTCACATCTTCCACATTTGCCTTTTTCTTCTTGGCCAGAACATCCAGCTGCTTGGAGATCAGGCTCCACCTCTGCACCAGGCTGTTTCCAGGCTGAAACATTGTTCTTTGTTAAAATATCTTTAAACATCAAATATTAAGCATCTGCTGGGTTTCAGAAATATTTGGAAATCTAAATGTTCAATAATTCTAGTGATATGTTTACGTAAAGCTGTCCTACGTGCTCGTCCCCATTTTCACTTACTGGTGGGGAGTCTGACATAGTGGAAAAATTGCAAATCATCTTTTGGAAAGTTAGCTTGTATGCACGCTCTCGCACGCATTTCACAAGTGTTCACTCTCGACAGTGGGTAGAGTTTTGCCCTTGCATTTATAAATTTGAAAAAATAAGTTTTATATAAAAAAACAATTGAGCAAAGTTACTATCAAAACCCTTTTTGTCAAAACATTTTTAAAGTTTCATTTCTAGATTTCATTTTTTCAGATTTCCCTTTATTTCATCTTTCTTTGCTATAAATCCAACATGCTTTCAATGGAGCAGTTTACCTGCTGTACAGGACATCTACCAGCCCCTTCACAGCAGGTCATAAAACTTTAGCTACCCTGAACATTACACAGTTTTAGGATTTTGGAAATGTGATGTAATGAATTCTTTACATTTGGTATCCATCCCATTAGTGGCATATCTGGTTTTGGTGACATGCTTGACCTTGAACACGGCATCTTGACAAAGTTCTTGTGCCACAGGTCTCTCCCTCTCAGAGGAACAACTTGACCCTGGTGAAAAACTTCCACCTAAAAAACAAACAAAACAACATCAGATAATATACATTATTTCTGGAAAAAGAATTACTTGTTTAGCCAAAAACAAATTAATGAATTATTAGCAGTTTTAAAACAGTCATTGTTGGTCAGTGTTGCAAAATCTGAGTAGCAATAAGGAAGGGAGGTAGAATCAAATTAAGGGATGAAGGATACCAGAAAGGATGGAAGACAGGAAGGAATAGAAATGGGGCATCGAGAGGAAAGATGGTAGAAAACAAAAAGTGAAAGAAAGAAAAGTCAAATGCAGAAAGAAGAGCGGGATACAAAAGTAGAATGAAGAAAAGAACAATGAGGTTAACCAGAAAAATGAGGAGAAAGGAAGAAAGGAGAACATTTAGACTGAGGGTTTCTAAAGTTGGTCCTTGGGCGCCGACATGATGCAGGGTTTAGAAGTTTCCATGCTTTAAAAGCCTGATTTAGATGATTTAACAACTTTGTTAATCATTCACCAGGTAAAACCAGGTGTTCTGGCAACATACCTGGTTCTACCTGACAGGCTGCAAACAGTATTAAGACGAGAGGGGAGTGTTGGCCTACTGGTTAGAGAAGGTTGCAAGCACCCAGTTCAATTCCCTCAGCCTGCACTCTGGGTCCCTGAGAAAGACCCTTAACCCCGGGGCACCCCACAATGGCAGCCCACTGCCCACCAAGGGGATGGTGAAATTCTCCAGTATGAGATTAATAAAATAAAATTATTATTATTGTTTAAAAAACAAACAAAAAAAGGGAAAACTCATTTTTTCAACGGCAGCCATCACTGACACCTTGCTGTTCCTCCACCACAAATGATTCTGGGAGCCAATTTAAAAAATTTGGGATCGAAACAAAGTCTGTTGCCACCAATTGACAGTACTGTTAATTAGTTTTTAAAAAATCATTCACAATCCAACTTCACCAAACACACCCACATAGGTAACTTAATGTAATCATTTTGTAAACCTAAGCCTCACATGTAAATACTTTGTGCAATAATTATAATATGACAAAGTGTATTTGGGCTGCTCAGTGGAGCAGTGGGTAGAACTTCTGCCTTGCAGCAAGAAGGTTCCGGGTTAAATTCCTGCTTTCTGCATTGAGCTTGCATGTTCTCCCTGAGCATGTGTGGATTCTCTCTGGTTACTCCGGCTTCCTCTCATAGTCCAGAAAACATGGCTGCTAGATTAATTGGCTAATCTAAATTCTCCTTAGGTGTGAGTGAATGTTTCTTTGTCTCTGTGTTGCCCTGCGATGGACTGGAAACCTCCGCACCTCTCGCCTGGAGACAGCTGGAGATGGGCACCAGCAACTGTTGCCACCGCAGCAGGAATAAGCTGACGGAAAATGGATGGACTGTATTTTCCTATGTTTTATTAATAAATACTATACATTTAGGGCTTGTCAGTCTTTTCTATAAAAAGAAAAATATATAAACTGTTAACAAAGAATAGTAGACAGTGATATTTTGCTAAACTTTATTTCTAAGACATCTTAAGACATCTTCAAAATCTGCAATATTTCTTGAGACTTCTCAAGTCGTCTCAAGACATCTTTAGATCCATGTCTATAGACGTATCTTATAGACACAGATTGATTTACCAACACATGTCAACAGAAGAGTCTTGAGACACATCTGAAGGCGTCTTGAGATGCGGTGATGGCTGGGTATGTGAAGCAGAAAACCATCTAAATCATCCAGGACAGTGGCTCTCGTCGGCCAAATTTAGACACCAACAAGTCAGAGAAAAGGCAAACATTCCTCCAAACCCTTACATTCTTATTACAAACCGATCCAAACCTGGATATTTCTGATATTTCTACACTATTAGAACCCTGGAAGCTTTCTGTAACATACAGCATTAAAAGTAAAGATGATAATAAAGATGGATGTGCTGTGTTCTGCCATGGTCTGGTTTATGTGGTTTGCTGTGAACAGGATCACAGTGATGTGAAATTACATCAGATTGCTTCATCATTTATTAGGAGGTCATTTTAGGTTTTATTACTGTCCCTGATTAACTGTCTTCATTTATCTTTTCTCATCTAGAATTTTGTTGCATTTTTTTATTAGAATATGGAGCTTTAAACACGTGTTGAGAAAACAGTCTTATTTGAATAGTTTCCTTTTTCTCCGACAAGGTCATAACATTAAGACATATTCCTTTGTTTAAAAATGTAATTTGTTTTGAGAGAGAAGATGGAACCAGCTTACATCTATGAGGACGGTGTGAGATCTAGAGAAGCTCAGATTTCCCAGCCTCATGTCACACTTTGAAAGTGTCTTCAGGTCATCCAGCTGGCAGCATGACGATCCTCCTTCTCTGCTCCATCTCCTCTCCGCCTCACATCCTCCATCTTTCTTTCCATCCTCAGCGCTGCTCTGTCCAGAGGTGGATGGTTCAGAGGAGCTCTTATCCTCCGAGCTTTCTTTTCCCTGCTGTTGGTTCTCAGGTTTGGTTTCCTTCGTATCAGCAGACCTATTTTCACAGAGCTGTATAAGATCTTTCACCTGACTGCTGTCATTTCGTTGGTTTTGTTTGGCCATACCTGAAGAGTAAAAGAAAAACATAACGATGCCCATCAGTTTGATGTTTCTTCCCTGTGAAGTTTTCACATTTTAATTCAGCCAATCTAGTGAAGCTCAGACTCCTGCTGTAAAAAGTCATATTTTTGAAACCAAAATCCAACATGGATATATGTCTTTGTGGACATACATAAGTGGCAAAGCCACAAACCTTCCTTGTCCCATATTAGCAAAGTTTCACTGCTTTAATGCCAGAGTTAAAAAGAAAAAGAAAATCATAACAGGTATAACTGACGATGAAGATGAAGGATCATTTTGCAACTTAAAATATGGTGACGACAGATGGGTAACTACAAATTAATGGCATACCTCTCATATATTCCCAAAAACTAAGACCGTTTAATTAAACGATTGGAGGCAAACTATTGGTACTTCAACAGACCAGATTTCTCATCTCGATTAAAATATTTATTTTATACCCAGAGGCTCAAAAGTTTAACCAAATCCAGTCAAAGGAAACTTCTCATTGCAGGCCTGGATGAAGGGATGCTGAGATTGGAGGCAAAGAACAAACTGTTCATCCAAACCATGGATGATCCTCGTTATCCCTGTTACAAGAATCCACAACAAAAAGAAAATATTTGGGCAGAAACTGCACATATGATGTTGGGCCCTCTGCTCCGATATCTTGGGATAGGTACGTGGTTGCTTTTGAGTTAAAATGAATAATGGAGATGCTGCTGACGTCTTTACTCATTTCACTTTATTCAAAAGAACACCAAAAGCTTTCTGCGCCAGCGCAAAACACAGTTCTCTGCTGGACAGAAGCAATCGATCTACAAACCATCCAACTCTTAAGAAATTGTAAATAGTGTACATAGTATGAATACTCTTAGTACTGTATTACCACTACTTTTAAACAATCAACAAAATGATAATTATTAATTATTTTAACTCTCGTTTTTAACTGAAATATCAGTCTTTTAAACCTTTGTATTTTAATTTGTGTATGGACAACTTTTAAAATATCTTAATAGTTTTAACCTGTTTATTTAAGCGTTAATTTACGCACGTTTTGCTACTATGAATTTAATAATAATATCGGGCATGTTCTCCTCGAGCTCCGAGGAAGCCGAAGTGGAGAGGGACGGGAGGAAATGCGTAGGCTGTAGGTTTTACTTTACGGAGGATTTAGGACAGGGCTCGGCAACCCAAACTGCTCAAAGAGCCACATTGGACCAAAAAAACAAATCTGTCTGGAGCCGCAAAAATGTAGCCTGGGTGTCATTCCGAACTTAGTCCCGCCCACAACGTTTGAGGTCAGGAAGTTCGGTCTGGTATTGCTCAACAGTAGCGCGAGTATGATCGCACAATATTTGGCGGGCCAATCAAATTGTCAGGGCGGGATTTATACGATGATGGACATATGATCAACAGTAACGTAATCAACCATGTGACCAATGCGCGCTTGGGTGACAACAACAATGGCTGCCCGCTGGAGAGCTGAGGTGAGTAGATTCTGCTATTAGGTCTGTTCTAGAAGATATCGACAGCAAATTAATTTTAAAAGAGGAACAGAGAAACGTGATCAAGGCTCATCTTCTTATTATAGGCGTACAACTGCACGCTTTGATTTTTGTGGACAACAACTATGCGTGGCTTAACATACGTCACGCACTCCGTTGCTCTTATTGGTTGTAGGTCTATCCAATTGAGTGCAGAGGCATTTTTTTTTCCTGGTTCGTTCAAAACACGCCCCATAATCACAGCTCTATGGAGCAGTATCAGACTCATATTCTGACTAGAATTGAGTCGGACTACGTCAGGCTAGCAAAAATGTAGAAGTCTTAAATAAGCCACATATGGCAAAACGGGCTCTAAGTGTAATATCCCACTATAGAAAAGGACAATATGGGCTTAAATATATAAAAATCATTAACTTAGACTTAGACTTAGACTTAGACTTAGACTTCTTTATTTGTCATTTTGTATGCACAGGGTGCATACAGAACGAAATTGCGTTACATACAGCTTATGAACGTTGCATTGATATTTCACAATGGCACGAGTTATAGAAAAATACAAAAAGTGCAGCAGTGGTCAAAGTGTGAACAGTGCAGAGGATAAGAGACAGTGTGCAAGTTGCAGTGGTTCAGTGCAAAATGGCATTTGTGCAAAAAAATGCGTTATTGAAAAATACAATGAGATGAACAATTTAAAGGGCTAAAAGTTAAAAGTTCAGCAGCATTTGATGCCCGATAATGTGCAATAGGTGCAGAGTTCGGATTGTGGATCAAAGGTTCAACAGTCTGATGGCAGTGGGGAAGAAGCTGTTGCACAACCTGGTGGATCTGCAGCGGATGCTGCGGAACCTCTTTCCAGAGGGCAGCAGGGAGAACAGTCCATGGTGGGGGTGTGAGGGGTCTTTGATGATATTACGGGCTCGGGACACACAGCGCTGTGATGAAATGTCCTTAATGGAGGGAAGAGGAGCCCCAATGATTCCTTCCGCTGTCCTCACCACCCTCCTCACATTCTTCCAGTCAGAAGCTCTGCAGCCTCCACACCACAGAGAGAGACAGCTGGTCAGAACGCTCTCTATGGTGCTTCTGTAGAAGGCTGTGAGGATGGGCGGGGGCAGGCGGGCTCTCCTCATCCTCCGCAGAAAGTACAAGCGCTTCTGTGCCCTCTTCACTAGAGATGAAGTGTTTACAGTCCAGGTGAGGTTGTCCGTGATGTGCACCCCCAGGAACTTTGTGCTGCTGACCACCTCCACAGCTGAGCTGTTGATGAGCAGTGGAGCATGGTGGGGGCGGTTTTTCCTGAAGTCGACGATGATCTCCTTCGTCTTCTCCACGTTCAGGATCAGACTGTTTTCACTGCACCAGTCCACCAGCTGCTCCACCTCCTCTCTGTAGTCCCGGTCGTTGTCGTCCCTGATGAGGCCCACCACCGTGGTGTCGTCCGCAAACTTCACGATGTGATTGGTGGTGAACCTGGGGACGCAGTCATATGTCATCAGGGTGAACAGCAGGGGGCTCAGGACGCAGCCCTGAGGGGAGCCCGTGCTGAGGGTGATGACATCAGAGGTGTTCTGACCGACCCGGACTGACTGAGGTCTGTTGGTGAGGAAGTCCAGCAGCCAGTTTCGAAGGGGTGTGTTGAAGCCCAGATGTTCCAGCTTTCCCACCAGGTGCTGTGGGATGATGGTGTTAAACGCTGAACTGAAGTCCAGGAACAGCATCCGCACGTGGGTGTTCTTCTCCTCCAGGTGGGCCAGGCTCAGGTGAAGAGCAGAGGAGATGGCGTCCTCAGTGGAGCGGTTTCGCCGGTAGGCAAACTGGAACGGGTCGAGTGTTCCAGTTCCAGACTAAATGTTTATCCTGGAGCAAAAGTCAGATAGCAGCATGAGGTGAGGGAGGAGCAGTGAACGCTCCCATCACGCTGCTTCACCGCACGGTTTAAGTTTTGTTGCATTGATGAAATGATAGAAACACATTAAAGGAATCATTCTATGATGGACATTTTTCTGTTGGGAGGAGCTGATTGAGTCACGAGAAACCAAGCAGGAACTGAGATCCATCAGAGCAGAGCTCTCTAACCCCGAAATCCCACATCCTCCATCACCAGCGTTCCTTGCTGTGATTTTTATTTTGGGGATTTGGGGAAAAAATGAAGAAAGTTCTCCTCCCTGTATCAGAGCGCTACCTGTTTGATCTGTGGACGGTTTTCTAGGCTTGCAACCAAACTAGCAGCAGTAGTGGAGTTTGGAGATGCAATCTATTCCTTTAATCTATCTTTGCTCTCCTCTAATTTTTCCAGAAGTTCTGCAATCACACTTTTTCGCACTTAGAGATGCAAATTTTCAAATTTCATAATAAATGTTAATTTTTTGACGACCTGTCATTGGAAAGCAAAAATGCAGGCAAACCCTCTGCATTGATAATGAAAGCAATTTTAGATATGAATCCTCTGTTCTCAGCAGACATCTTCCTTTTTTTCCCTTTTGGATCCATTGCCTAAGACATATCCGCCGCTTTGTTTGCCTGGCACTGTTCCAGGCTATGACCTCTGATCTTTATGGCTATGTGGCAAATTTTCATTGAAAGAAATTTTTACATTTATTTTTTTTAATTATTTATTACACAAATGTTTAAAGCAGGGATCTTCAACGTCTTCCAGGCCAAGGACCCCCAAACTGATGGTGAAATGAAGCGGAGACCCCCTAATTATATATATTGTATGACATTGTGTTATATTAAACTGGTCCAATAGTCACTCTATTGCAGATGGCTTAATGTAACTAAAGTAATTTCTCCCTGGGATTAATAAAGTATTTCTGATTCTGATTCCTGGTTGATGGGACAGGTGATGTGAATGAAACGGTGCCCAGCTTGAAAGAGCTCCTGTGTGTCGCTGAATGTGAGCATTGATGACTGAAAGACATCTTCTGCCTCCAATTATCTGTTTACTACAGTGTGTTGAAGTCATGTTAATGTGGATTTAAAGACATTTCAATTAGAGGAAAAATTGCAGGGGGGAATATAAAAAAAAGTCTAATCAACCAAAATTTTCGCGACCCCCATGCAGTACCTCCATGGACCCCCTAGGGGTCGCGGACCCCCTGTTGAAGACCTCTGGTTTAAAGCATTGTAAAACATAACATTTGTTTGACCTCCTGCACACCATATTAAAATAAACAAACAAAATAAAATAAAATTATATGATTGGCTGAACGTTGCCACGTGATGTAAAAAGATTATGGTTGCCCAAACAACGATAATAACGTCACGCAGCGTCTGTGTGCCGAGTCAAGAGCATCTGTAGTGTTAGCGTGTCTAATGACTGATGAAGTTTTACCTGATAGATAACAAAACTGAAAAAAATCTGTTTATGTTGAACAAAGTAACTGTTAGACCGTGATATAAAGGGGTGAGCTGGGTAGCGCTGCGGCTAGCTGTGCTCGGTAGCTAACAGGTTAGCCTCTTTTAGTTCGGTCAGTTAGCCATATTAAGCTACAC